TCCTTTATCCTTGATGCTAGTTGTTTTTCGAAGCTCCTACGAATATATATATATATATATATATATATATATATATATATATATATATATATATATTATATATATATATATATATATATATATATATATATATATATATATATATATATATATGCAGGTTGTACTACCTCTGGTCCCATCCTTGGTGATATATATATATATATATATATATTATATATATATATATATATATATATATATATATATATATATATATATATATATATATATATATATATATATATATATATATATATATTCGTAGGAGCTTCGAAAAACAACTAGCATCAAGGATAAAGGACGATCCAAAAGCTTTCTGGAGGTACACGTCATCAAGATTGAAAACAAGATGTGGAGTTGGTGACCTCAGGGACGAAAGGGGCGAAGTCGCTACATCAAATCATGAAAAAGCCTGTATATTGAACAGGTTCTTTGCCAGTAACTTCACAGAGGAAGGCAGCGATGATCTACCAGTACTGACAGTCGAGCCGGTTTGTCAACCAGCTGATGACATTGAGATCACGCCCGCGACTGTTGCTGAGAAGCTCTCCTCGTTGAAGACAACCAGTGCCCCAGGACCGGACTCCATTCATCCTAGAGCCTTGCGAGATTCTGCAAACGGCCTTGCTCTCCCGCTGTGCACTCTGTTCAGGAAGTCGCTGGACTCCGGAATCCTTTCCTGGACTCCGTTCTTCGTCACTCTTGGAATTGACGACGGCTTCCTCGAGCCCGACCCTGCCGAGCGGCATGACGACCCCCGCTATGTCGCCGCAGCGGGGAAGGCCAACGGCATCACGGTGTTGAACGACTTCGCCGAGCGTGGCGTCGCTCTGATGGAAACGTACAACTTGACCCTCACCAAGGATGGGACCAGAGGTAGTACAACCTGCAGGCGGTAGAGGCACACCATGGAAAGTTTCCGAACGTTAATAAAGGCACCGTCCCCCGGAATCTGCAGTAATGAGCGATAGCATTCGACGCAGATGCTCAGACTCGTCAGGAGGTCCAAGTTTGCCAACTGCCACAAGACGCATTGAGTCTTATCTCAGTTTTTTTATCGTTTTACAATGCATCACTAGTTCTCGTGTACCACCGTCTTTTGTTTCATGATTGCATCGTTATGAATAGCTGAGAGACGATGCTTATGGTTTACATACCAGAAAGGTCTACACTGCTGGCCCAATGGCTAAAAGCGTACACATTCAAGTTTGAGGAGGCACGGTTAAATATAATCCGATCCCGATGAAACTTTGGGTATATGTCAAGTTTAGGTCCTAACTACAATTGTGGCACTTTTGATACGAATATGAAACAGCAAAAACTTTAGGTTTTAGGTTAGGTTAGGTTGTAGGTTTGTAGGTTTTAGGTTGTAGGTAGGTAGGTTTGTAGGTTAGGTTAGGTTAGGGTAGGTTTGTAGGTGGTAGGTTGGTAGGTTATAGGTAAGTAGGTAAGGTTAGGTCAGGTTTGATTATGTTTTTTTCTTTTATTTGCGAGACATATGAGTATCATTTTTGGATTCAGGATGTCAAATAATGTAAAAATATGAAAAATTTATCAATGAAATCTTCTTAGGACTTAAACTTGACATTTACCAAACTTTGCATATGATGTTTTTATATGAGACCATAAAATGAACTGCTTTTTTGCTTTTTCAAAAAATCAGAAAATAACTGTCGCCCTACTTGATAGGCAGTTAACAGTTATCTCACCTGGTTCAGACTAGAGTTCCAGTCCTTGCTGGTTCCTATCAAAGACAAAACCTTGGACTAAGCAAACTGTATACACCGCGTATACGTACTAAAAAAAAAAAAAATAATCATCAGCAACCATCCACGGGGCAAGGCGGGTGGGACTAAATGCTTACTTCGAAATCTAAGCTACGTTGCGGCATTGGCGGTTATGTGCGGCGTGTATGCCGCATGATTAGTAAGCGGCGACCACTAAATTAAAGACTCAAACGCTCCGACCGGTTCTCAATGAATAACACTGCATACCAAAAATGCCAACCGCTCTCGTCATAAGATATTCAGCTTTAAATAACTAGGTTATCTATATCATCATTTTGAACCAAATTAATACTTTCAACTTAACTCACTCATTCCTTCCTTTGTTGTCTCCAAACAGTCTTTCGATTGTCTGGAAATCGTATGCTAAATCCCGTACCTGTATGCGACTGGTGCATATAAAGGCCGATAAAAGAATTTGAATAGGCTCTGGCATGCGATTTCCTGGCTACCCAAAAAAGTCTGTTTCAGTCTTGCTATCAAAACATGACCTCGCCCGCACAGGGGGGGGGGGTGATGCAACCCCCCTAAGGTTTTTCGCGAATAACTCGCTTAAAAAGCGGCTGATCGCGACGAAACTTTCAGTACCCTCGCATTGATCAATTTAACACCCATCCTTAAAGGGACCCTCCCACCTTAACATTAGTTTTGAGTTGAGATAGCCAAGTTTGCGGCCAGACTCAGAAACCACCATTTATTCTGGTCGCAACCCCCGCAGCTTTATGGTGTTCAAGAAATTTCTTCCCTTTACTTGCAGGGTGGGACCAGCTTGGTCCCTATCTCTTAACCATTATGGGAATCTGATGACGTCATCAGGCTTTCGAACGTCCGTTAAATGTTTGACTAACACGTTTTGTAGCACGCGGTGGTATATGCTGCTTTGCGCGCAACAAATGCCGCACTTTCAAATAAAGTCGCTAGGAACAGCGGATATCCCAAAAAATAAACAAAAGTAAAAGTCTAATATCTTGAAAACCGGTGAATATTTTTCGATGAAATTTGGTAGATATTCGTTTTTGCTCTTTCTGAACCGAGCGACATCACTTTCATGCCAATTCATTAACTTTTTTGAAGGTGGGAGGGTCCCTTTAAAATTCCATGACCCTGACCCAAATGACCTTTGACCTGTGACCTACTTTTCGAGACCATGTTTGGCCGGAACCGCGATTCAGCGTATGTCGGCTCGCATTAGCAGCGCGTTTGCAGTCTTTTCGTGGTTTCAAGCGTTCAAACATGTGATATGATGTTGCCCCCATGCATTAGGGTGGGTGTCAAGGTCACCTGAAGGTCAGGTCAGGTCATTGACCTTTGGTGACCTCGGTTCACTTTTTCGAGTTTGACATGTTTCTAGGTCAGTTTTTTCGAGCTGAATTCGAATTAAGCAACCACATGAACGTTTACAAAGTAGTTTTGGTGCCTTCGTAACATGTTACGAGGCTGTCAGAGGCGGTTGACACCTACTACAAATACCTGGCATGACCTCTACTGGTTGACCTGACCTGACCTAACCCGACCTGGCCTAAATGAATGAAGACATCATCTGTGATCAAAACTAGCATGATATTCGTGATCAGCACCCCGAAAAAACCCATAGCAGCCACACTACGACGTTCTAACAGGTCCCAATTTTCCCGCCTTTTGGGTCATTGACCTGACCTGGAAGGTCAACCGATGACCTAGGACCTTAAAATTGGGTATCATCGGCTTTCTCTCGTCACGGGCAACACGCTCGTTTTTTCCGCGAAGCTCTAGCTTGATCAGGAGCGAAACGGCAAGGGGTTATACCTTATACGTTCGCGGCTGAGTATTAATTTGGTTCAAAACAATTATGTAGATAAGTTAGTTATTTAAATCTAAATATCCTATGACGAGAGCGATGGACATTTTTGGTATACAGTGTTATCCATTGAAAACAGGTCAAAGCTATTAAATTTTTAATTTAGTGGTCGCCGCTTACTAATCATGCGGCATACACGCCGCACATAACCGCCAATGCCGCAACGCAGCTTAGATTTCGAAGTAAGCATTTAGTCTCACCCGGCAAGGCAGATCCACGGTAAGTTTTGATGATTCATCATTACATACCCCTACAATGATGATTCATAACTCACCCGTTTCATATTGATATCTTGACCACCCCGCGTTCGATGTCTCTCGAACTATGAAGATTCTACGTCATCCGGCCAATCACGTTCCATAACCGCAGCAAAGCCCCTGCTGACCTTGATCCCGGATTGGCCGGACGAGTAGGATCTTCGTCATCCGAGACTTATCGAACAGGACCTTGCATCGAACGATTGTTATCTTTGAAACATCTGCGTCAGAACCGTATCTTTTCATAAAATGTCCTCTAAAATGCAGCAACATTTCCCACTAATTCACTGCAAAAACCAAATAGTATTTATCACAAATTTATTTCCTCAAATGACATTCGGAAGCATATAGGGCCTTTATTTGAAGATCAAAATTAGCTATTGAAAGTCATTGATGATTGAATGAACACTGTTCTTGATTTAAAGTGAGATTTAGGGGAAATATCACTTGACGATACTCCACGACTTCGGTGACGTCAATTGAATCTGCCGCCCACTGAGACACTTGCACCCCTTGCACCTAACCTAACCCACAGTGTATATAAATAACCTAACCCAGCCTGACCTGCCTTTCTGTAAGAATCAAGACCTGTCCTACAACATACAAGAATCATAACTCATAAGTAATATTGCATGATGCCTACATCTGCATGCAGCGCCGCTCGTTGCATTTCTGTCCTAGTTCGGTTTCCATCGTCCAAGCAAACCCAATACCACGGAAAGCGTGACGCACTGCGGCGCCATTTCGTGAAACAGGGCCCTGCTATTTGCCGTCCCAACAATAGCCGCCAGCCGGGGTCCGTAAAAGCGGTGAAACGACAGGATTTGTAATATGCGTTCCAGGCCACACCAAATGGACGAGCACCAGAAAATCCGTTCCTTTGCGGCTGGCGTCACGTGAAGTTCCATAGTATATATTGCTAACGTAGGCTCTTCAGCTCGGCCGGTCACCGCGGGTGACTCATTACTGCCGTTGGCTGATTAAAATATTTGGGATCCTGCGACTCTGACTTCGACCCTCACTTGGTATCAGACGCCAGATCATGACCTGAAGCTTCACCCTGAACTGTGAAAAAGAATAACATTGCGACACAAACCTTTATTCCCTACCGCGGAGACTATACAGGGGTGTCAAAATGCAACATGCCGGACCAGAACGGGCAGTACATCAGATGGAAGTAACGACATGAAAAGCAGTACAATACGATTCCCGATGCATTCATCTTGGCGACTACTACATGCTCGCATCGTGTAATGGCAGCGACACACTCATACCAAAGTGACCAATCTCACGCACAACTCCGGCAGAAGTCGCTGGCGACAGGCACAGCCAGCGACCGGGCAGGATCCCTCACAGCTACCGTCGAGCGCCGCGCGCCGCGTGCTCTGCCCGCACACAGCACGGCTCGTATCCCGTTCAGTACGCCCACCGCGCGCCATCCGCCGTCCGCCGGCTCAGCTGGTGCTCGACGAGCTGCTGGAGCTCGGCGAGCGGCGGCGCTCCTTCTTCCGCCGGGCGCGGCGCCGGCGCGAGCTGTCGCTGTCGCCCGTCGACGGCGACGACGAGCGCGACGAGGCGGCGCGCCGGTCGCGCTCCGCCAGCCGCATGAAGTAGCGCTCGTAGGCCTCGTAGTAGCCCTCGTGTCGCGGCGGAGAACGTGAGTAGGAGCGAGAACGCGAGCGGGAACGAGAGCGGGAGCGAGAACGCGACCGCGAGCGGGAGCGGGACCACGAGCGGCCGCGACCGCGCCCACGGCCGCGCGGCTGCCATCGGCCTCGGAAGCCACCGCGGAACGGTCGGAACGGCCGGCCGCCGCGGCCGCCGCGCGCCACGAACGGCCGCGGGGTGCCGCGTCCGCGCTCCACCCACTCCCTGTCCACCCAGCCGTCCACCTTGGACCAGACGCGGCTGAAGACGCGCCGCGGCGCGTCCCCGTCGGCCGACTCCGGACGCGTCTTCTCGCCGCCCGAGTCGCTGGTGTCCTCGCGCACCCGGATCTCCGCCTCGCCGTGGCTGCTCGAGCCAGACGAGTGCGAGCGCTGGCGGCCCTTCTGCCGTTTGTAGTGGAATCGCTCGTCGTCGGGGTTGACGCGCAGGGGCGGCAGGGCGCCGCGGCCCCAGGGGCGCCGCATGCCGCGGCCGCCACGGCCCCGCCACTCGTTCCCGTCGGCGTCGTACAGGAAGGGCGCGAAGCCGCGGCCGCGCATGCCCGGTCGGCCGCGGAACGGGGCGCGGCCGCGCGCGCGGAAGGCGGCCACGCGCGGATCGGCCGGCGGCCCGTCCTCGTCGGACCAGTAGTCGCGGGACGGACTGTTGTCCATCCGCATCCGACCTGCGGCGGCGGAGGGACGGGGAGTCACAGGTCAGGCGGTGAGCCAGCCCAACTACCTAACGGTCTTCTTAACATTCACAGACACTAGGCCGCACACATTTTAAGGAACATCTAGGCTGATCATAATAACATCCTGACCTATTTGCTTCACAAAAGTACTGTCATGTCCCGCTCTTAGACGACAAGAAAAAAACAGTAATATGAAGGCATTTACTTGCGAATTTTAGGGACGATATTTCGACAAAATAGCTGCAATGCAGCTGGCACCAAGCAACCAACGCTGGCAACAGCTGGCAAAATCGGAAACTGCGCCGAACAGACACACTCACCATAGCGCCTGCCGCCGCTGCCCGACCGGGACCGGGAGCCGGACCGGGACCGTGAGCGGGAGCGAGAGCGGGAGCGGGAGCGCGACAGAGACCGGGACGAGATGGTCGACCTGGACTCGGAGCGCAGCCGCGAGCGGGACGGTGACCGCGAGACGGACGACAGCGACGAGCTCGAGCTGCTGGTGGACGAGCGGCGCGCGCGCGCCAGCACGCTGCGCAGCTGGCGACACAGAGCGGCGCGGGTCACACACACATGGCGGGACTCTGGGGCACCAGAGCATCCGTGCATACAATACAGGGCGGGACACTGGCACACGGGGACACATCATACATATTATAGGGCCGGTACATGGCACAGCGCGGAGCCCAACTCGCAAGCTCACATAAAACGGGCTGACACAAAGAGCGACACAAACCACCTGTCTAAAAACAACACCTAAGAGCCTAAAGAATACGACACACTGAAAAACCGCATTGTGAACCCAACTCCCAGCTCAGTATGACAACAAAAGGTGAATATTTGTGGTAAACGTCAAATTCATTGAGGAGCTCTTATGAAACCTGACGTGGCGAGTACTGTCAGTGTTTCACGATAACTGCATTTACTGTACGCTGAATATTTGATATTTGATAACGCAGCTATTTTACCAACACACACGAGCGGAACATAATCTGAAGAGCTGGCAATCATCACACCACCTGCCTGCCGCGGCTAGCCTCCAGAGATAAAGACAAATCCCTGATAAAGTCAATTAAGCTGAAAATAAGCATCACATTTCCTTTTTGAAAGCCCAGAATGTTTGATAATGAAACCACACATCTCCCCAGACGGCAGACAAAGTACCTACCTTCTTTTTGCCTTCGATTGCCTTCCTGAGTTTTTCTCTCTGCTCCTCCATCCGTTTCTCCTCGAAAACCTTGTATGTCGTGACTAGCTTGTCTCGCAGCTTCATCTCTTTCTGTTGCAGTTTATCCTTCTCTTCCTTTTCTTTCGCCTGCAATAGATCCGGGCTAAGTGAGGCCACCACGCCACGTGAGCACGCTGCATTCCGAGTCCATCGGAGGACGTGTGGATAGTGGGAAACAGCAGGCGTACATCGGCACCCTTCAAAATCACCGGCGAACTGCCGAACACAGCTGGACAGACGACCAGCTCCGCGGGACTCGGATGCAGCGGGGCCGGAGAGGAGACACACTGGGTAAACAGGCGGATTATCAGGCGCGAAAACGGGCTACCTAGGACAGGCGGAAAGGACCGGAGGAGCCACACCTCAGGCCGGGGCCGTGGTCGAGGTCGGGTCGGTTCGGGGCTGAAGATCGTGTATGTTCGGGGTCCGGGTCGGGTCAGGTCAGTGTCGGGTCGGCTCAGGACTGGTTCGGAGTCGGTTCAGGTCGGTTCGCTCGGAGCCGGTCGGTTCGGATAGGAGTAGGACTCCGTCGGACCTCCGTCCCCACACCGGACGGCGGCGCCACTCACCAGTCGCAGCTTCTCCGAGGCGCCGTTGCGGTGTTTGGCGATGATGTTCTGCACCTCGGCCTCCTTGCGGCGGGCCTCGGCTCTCAGCCGCTCCGTCTAGAGCGGGCCGGGGCGTCAGATACGGCTGACTCAGGGGGCCGGCCGCGGGGCGTCAACCACACCTTACTCGGGGGGGGGGGGGGGACAGCGCCGGGTTCTCTGACAGGGTGAGGGAAAAGCACGAACAAACATCACACAGAGACGAGGCATTGAACAGAGCGCACTACACCCGAGTCAACCTCGCTCAAAGCGTGACATCAATAACAAAATAGCCATGAGCCACAATCTATGGGTAATAATGAAATCGTTTTGAAGGAATCATTTACTCTTTAACGTACGTATGTACAACAAGGACGCATGCGTAGATTTGCCGGCCCTTCATTCGCCGACTTTCCACGAGACCCGGAGTCTCAGAATACTGACAGAGCGCCGTGCCGGTCTATCACCCATCATGACGTCCATAATATTTTTACTACGGGGCTCAAGGGGGCCGACCTTATCAATATACAAGTAAAACCTTTTAGCGTAGCGTACTTCATGCTCATTTTCACATGTTACCAGACATCAATTGGCCATGTTTGCATCCAGTACTGAGCGAAGCAATTACTAGCTATCGAGTGAAGAGCATCGTCTTGCTACCCAAAATGATAAAAAAGGATTACCGTTGCAAATATGGTGAAGTAGCAGAACGAACATTAACGGCTCCGAAAAATAATTTAGCCTGATTGCTGATCAACAGCGATAGATAAGTGGGATGACCAATTCGAAGCCAAACGAGGCACAACATTCAATGCACCCAGCTTTTTTTGCGTCCGACGAGCTTCTCATCCAAAGGACGCCACGTAAATGGGCCCTAAAACGCCTCCCATCCTACGCTGTCGCCAGCGTGTCGTCACCTATATCCCTATTCCACGCTGTCGCCACCCACATCCCCTATGATTTGTTACCACACTGAAGGATTACTAGGTCTTCCTTCACACCAAGCTAGCACCTCAACACAGGACCCGAACTGCATCAGCCCATAGCTGAAAATGGAGTTTATCAGCATCCGCGACGATGACGATTGATGTTAAACTATCGCCACAAATCGATCAACTTACCAAGCCCATTTTAGCCATACTGACGAGCCTTGCGTCCCACTAATTATGCGTGACCATGTCATACGCACATCTGGCGATGGCCAGTTAATCCGAAGACACAAGGCGCCTATCTAGTCCACATATGATGTACCATTCCATGCATTTTGCTGTTGCATCTCTAGGGTAAGCAAGATCAGGATTTGGTAACATATAAATCTTCATGTCATGTAATTAAATAAAAGATCTTCAGAGTTATATTCACTGTTATTTGCTTGATCTGAAAACAGCCGTGCATGCGTCATTGAGGGGACGAACAATACAACAGCACACTGCCTGCAAAGGACGGGCACACGCACGCTAGAAAAGCTATCTTTGTGATCAAACGAAATCGATAAAAAAGACTGCTGCCGTAATAACGATTAAAGTGAATCCGATGAATGGAGTATTGTTTCAGGATAACTGGACAAGAAACCTTATGCCAAAAATGTAGAAGGAAATATGAAACGGATGCCTTTAATCTACTGCTATGCAAACCCCTCCTGTTAAGCTAAGACAAGCATAGAAAAATATCACATGGGAATGTATCTGATCGGCCTGTGTAAGGTAGGCGCGAACTACCAATGGTACAAGAGCCCGACAGAAATATTGAGGCTGGTTCGATTCACAGCAGACTGGGAGTGAGCCAGTCGGCGGAGGGGTATCGGGGTGTCCCCGGCTGGCGGTCCCCAGCCCCGGCCGGGCGGCGCCGACCGACGCCAGCCTGCTCACCTTGACCCGGTCAAACAGGGTGTCCAGCAGGCGGATACTCTCCAGCTTGCGCTGGGCGATCAGCAGCTTGCGCTCCTCGAGCTCGATCTTGAGCTGCATGGCCTCCTCCTCCTGGCGCTGGCGCCGCAGCTCCTTGGAGCGGCGCCGCTCCTCCTTCTTGCGGCGCCGCTCCGCCTCCAGCTTACGCTTTCGCTTCTCGCGCATTTTCTTCTCACGCTCCTCGTCTTCAATTTTACGCCTGCGAAACAGAGAATCACTGAAGTGCGGCGAGCAAAAGATCTGCAATGGCACTATGTCATCCATACAATTGCAAATCGGTTCGTTTCTTTAATATGAAAACGTAATATAGCCATAAATGTCTCGAACTTCCACCACCCTGTCAGGGACAGCCCCGTCGCTATACCCCACCAGACCCACCCTGACTACTGAGGCTGCTCTCTGTAAACTCACAAAGCCGAGGCGTCCTTGAGCTCGTCCAGCTGCCGCTCGCGTCGGCTCCTCTCGTCCAGCTCCTTGTCCTCCAGCAGCAGGCGCTCGCGCTCGGCGCGCCGCAGCTTGATGTTGCGCTCGCTCAGGTGGCGCGAGCGATCAAAGTCGACACGGATTGGCGCCGCCCAGCAGCGGTCACCCTCGCGGTACACCAGACGCATTGCCTTCAGCGAGGTCATGGCCTTCACGAAGCCCATGTACTCCTTGTACTGGACGAACGCCTCGAACGCCACGTCGTTGCTGAAGTCGAACGTGCCGCGCACGCCCGAGATAGAGGCGCGCATTTTGCGCCGCAGCCGGTCCAGCGCCGGCACGTCGATACAGCGGATGTCGCCCCACTGGGCGAACACGCGGCGCACCAGCGCCTCGTCGACGCGGCCGGTGGCGCTGTTGGCGAACCAGCGCACGGGCAGCTGCTGCAGGTGCAGCGTGTCGGGCCGCTCGCCCGGCCGCATCTCGTTCATGGTCGGGTCGTCGCGGAAGAACGAGTCCCACTCGTGTCGCGTGGGGAAGGGGATGCGCGCCTCGGCGGCGCGTACCCGCAGCAGGTCCGTGAAGCCTGGCAGCTTGATGGTGCGGTTGTCGAGCTGGCCGAGCAGTGACTTGAGCAGCCGGCGGCTCTCCACCTCGCCCTCGAACCGGATAAACTCCAGTGACGACTTGGTCACTGCCAGCGGGACGGGGCCGCCCGGTCAGAACGCCGCTGGGGCGGGTAGGTGTGCGTGTGTGCGTGGGGGGGGGGGAGGGACGGGGCCGCCCGGTCAGGACGCCGCTAGGGCGGGGAGGTGTGCGTGTGTATGGGTGGGGGGGGGGGGCGTGTGGGGGAGGGGAAGTGGCGGTGCCGCGCGGTCAAAGCGCGGCTGGGACGGGGAAGTGCCTGTGTGTGGGGACGGTGGAAACAAGTTATCTGCTGTCAGTGAGTCTGTTTATTGTCATTTTGAGTGGAATCCATGGGTACCTACAGGGAAAAGACACTACAGACAAGAAGAGCCAAAGCTATTTAATGCATATAACTATACCCTGTCAAACAAACTTAAATAGTGCAACGGGTACTAATCGTCTGATGTACAGTCTGTCTTAAAAGTACCGCGCAAAGTAACGATGGATCCATCAAGCCTGACCGAGGAAGGGCTGCTAAATTTGAGTCACCGAAGCAATTGACATCCTCGTCCATTCCCCAGGTCAATTGGTTCGGTGACTTTCAAATTATAGCAGTCCCTTCCTCGGTCAGGCTTGATGGATCCACCGTTACTTTGCGTGGTACTTCTAAGACAGACTGTACCATCCCACCGAATCGCTATAAATGACGTTTTACAATATGAATAATTGATTTATAGAAGAAAAAAACGTAGATAAAATTACATGACATGTTGAGTAATATTCAAATATTTTTCACACACAAAATTAAGTACTAAAAAACAAATCTTCTTCGCAAAAAAAAATTGAGTACCGAAAACTAGCAAATAACCGCCAACCCATGAACTCAAAGGACTACAAATGACTGAAAGAATCCAGAAAAACTGTCGAAAAACTGTCAATGAAGTGGGTACAGCCAATTACGAACATTCCGGTCAGCAGACAAGTAGGTGTGCGGTTTCCGGTGACGGGAGGACCGGTGTAAACTTTCACCGATGAATATTCGTACTTACCTCCTAGTTATCTACCGATGACATGAAAATTCACCACTATTTTTTAACAGCTTAGATGGGTTAAGTACAAGCAGTGCGTGGCCACTTCAGTTACAACAATCAACGGTTTGATTGTTTTCCATCGTGTGCGGCAGATGACACTGGTCCACAGCTGGCTTCCACGATATCATTTTGACCCGCCTGTTTAATGCATCTTTTGAGTTGACCCGTTCACAATAGGGACATCCTCTGTTCACATGGTCTTGGAAGCGGATAAATTGTTCCAATGTAATAACATGTCACTTGCACTTTACACGAGTATTGGTTTCACCCATGTTACTGACGCAAGGTTGGCACCTTGTAAGGTATAACTTTTCTACTACATAAAACACGTGTGTAGGACCGCTATTAAAAAGGATAAATCTACCTCAGTTTCATCACAACATGCTTCCATGTCTAGGTTCTTGTACTCTTGTTCCCGTCCTGGTTGAAAACAATGATGGACGCCAGCGTCGATGCATTGATGAGCAAAATATATGACATCAGAGTTATTTACTGAACATGTTATGCATCAATTTCACATCAAAACATTTTCTTCTGAAATTTGTCAACCGAATTTGCTGTAAATGTTCTGCTCCACAAAACCAAGAGCGTAGTGTCCACTGTCCAGTGATCAGTATCATTATCTTGATGGCATGACGCTGTGTGCACTGTGCTGTGCGCATTCCACGGCATAACGACACCTTGATCGTTTGGTACAAAGGACATCAGCGATTGTCCTAGCCGCTGACAGTTTTGATGACTGTCAGTAGTGAGCACCGAAGGCCTTGATAAATGACATCAGGGTATTTTGTCACTGACATTTAAGTGACAAAATCAATCATCTGCAGGGAAACAGTGAAGGATGAGTCAAACGGGCATAGTACACCAAAAATGAGCCCACGCGTCGTCAGAGGAAACAAATTAATAAAATGTGAATGACAACCGTTTGTTCATGTCCGGAAACAAAATATACAGGTGCCCCCTCCCAAAAAAGGCGTTTCCAGCTTTTGAGGCCCACATATCAAATTCGAATGAAAATAACGAGCCAAACTTTCGTCAAGTTTTCGACACTTCTTACTTCTTTAGCACACTGATATGTCAAATTATAAAGCTGTGCCATCCTTTTCAAGCCAGCACTCTTACGTTGAATAAAGCGGCACGTTTTACTTTTTTTGCCGTCATTGAGCCATCATGATGTTTGGTTTATTTTTTATGAAACGCCTGCGCAAAAAAAAAAACTATTTTTACCTATATGGCATGCTTGAAACATTAACGGTTCAAAAAGTTATTCAGTCATTAACATAAAAATAACATAATTTACTGAAAATATTAGCCACATTGAACATTCGAAGTTTCAATGTTATACCTTAATCACTTTCTGAGGAATATTGATTTAGGTTTTTCATTTTTCAGGGCCATCTGGTATAATGATGAAAAAGAAAATAGGTCGTCATCATTTCAAGGCTTTACTTTACTTCGACCGCCGCTGGTCGTGACACGCCGTGGCCTCTGCTGCCCGTCCACGGGCTCCCACCTTTGAGCGAGACAAGCGAGCCCTGCGTGATGAGCGCCAGCAGCTTGTCCTTGACGGTGCCGCTGGAGATGGACTGGCTGGGCGAGCTGAGCTGCGGCAACTGCACCGAGATGTTGATGCACGCCGTCGGCCGCAGGTAGAGGCCGTCGGCGCGCGACAGGTCCACCAGGTCCTCGCTGACCTGGCACGGGTAGACAGCCATGGTGGCACCGCCCGCCCGGCAGCTGCCCCGCCTGGAAACAGAGACAGATATCAGGTGAACAGCATCGCCCATGACGTTCGTGCCTCGTGCTCGTGTCGTGACTCTCGGCTTCCTCATAGTGGTAGTAGTGGGCATCACTTCAAAATCCATGTAACACAAGCTGTCTCAGATGTGCGCAAGCGATGTTTCTCACACAGAAGCGTAGCCCTCTGGACCAGACTGCCTGATGATGTAGTAGCCGCAGGAAGCCTGGGCACTTTCAAAACTGCATGGTCTCGCGTAATACATGATGACCTGTACAATTTTGTTGCGTGATTACCAACTCAAAACACAATAAACCTTGCTAAATGTATTTATTATCCAGAAACCAATGATTATCTACACAGTCATCACCGATGACATATGTCATCGGTGGACAATCAAATCCAGTTAAACCACAGCAACAGACAATGGGCAATCTCGTTGGTGAACTGGCGTGTCTTCTGATCCTGGGTTCCCATCATATCTGCTCCCATATCTTAATGGCTGCTAGGCAAGGAGAGCCCTACCAGGTGAGAGACGTCTTGTACAAACATACAACTTACAAACCTACAACCTACACCTACAACCTACCCTACTAGATATGGCAGCAGGGGCGACGTCTGCTAAGAGAATACCCAAAAAAGTAGGACGAAAAGCTGAGGACCAAAAATTGAAGAAAGTCTACTTAACGGAAAATGTCAGTATTAGTACCTAGAGCAGACGTCACATGAAGATTTTCCAACCAAGGAGAGGCGCCATACCCAGAGGTGCTTCTTTCTAGGAAAACCTAAGCAAACCTAACCTAACCTGACCTAACCCAACCTACAACCTAAAAACCTACAAAGTACATACCCCTACAAACCTACCCTACAACCTACAAACCTACAGTGCCTCTCCTCGGTTGGAAAACCTTCGTGTGATGTCTGCTCTACTAATGCCAAAATCTCATGGTATCATATATATATATATATATATATATATATATATATATATATATATATATATATATATATCTATATATATATATATATATATATATATATATATATATATATATATATATATATATATATATATATATATATATATATATATATATATATACCGTAAAATGGGGTGTTAAGGGACAGTGGGGTGTTAAGGGACAGTTGCATGGGAAAAACTTTGAGTCATATTAACTTCCTAATTTGAGAAGGTTCAATAAAAACTTCAGTGTGGTAGTTGACACTGTTTTGCTCTTGACCATAGGACAAAATGGTATGGTTTTTCATGCAAGTGATTTGGTTCAAAGATGGATTTGAAAATCATGCTACATTTTCACAAAATTGAAACATCTCCAAAACTCTGTGTGTACCACATAAACTGGTGGGTGTACAGGGAAAATGAATGCATAGGTGTATTGTCACATGTATTGCACATGTTTCCTGAAAAGCTTGTGCAAATCCACCCATTCATTCATCATGCTCTTCCTCTTTTCCGGATACATGCATATTTTGAGGTGGATGTGGGGTGCTAAGGGACAGGGAAGAAAAAATAGAAAATAATATCTAAATATAATTTCATTAAGTTTTCTTTCAGTAGGCATGGAAAACACCAAATTCCACATAAAATGCTGGCAAGTTCATGCTTTTATCTCTAACACATCTTAAGTTATGTAACAAAACATCTCAACACTCTCTTTTACAATGATGGGTCAATGGAGACTGATGTAGGTAAATGTGATGTCATCATAAAAAGGCTAAAACAAAGAGGGCAACATAATGACAAGTGACTAGCTTCAACATGGGTTTTAATTGATGACAGAAGATTACTTTTTGGTTCTGTTTACTGTATAATTAGCACATTTTCCACAAACGTAAACTGCATTACACGTAATTGGCTAAAAAGGTCATTAGTGGTGAATGAACCTGACTTGTTTTGTGACAGAATATGCAAAACATTTCAATAAATAAATTGTGTGCCCTTCCACACCCCAATTGTGGGCATTTGATGACCATTTCTTGGAATAATATAGGTGTCCCTTAACACCCCACATTGGGGTGCTAAGGGACAGTGATGAAAAATAATAAAAAATAATATGCAGGTATAAATCTTAAAAACTTTAATGTGGCAGGCATGTAAAGCACCAAATTCCACATAAAACGCTGACAATTTGATGCTTCTATCTCCAACCCTTCTTGAGTTATATAACAAAACACCTCGAAACTGTCCCTTAACACCCCGTTTTACGGTATATATATATATATATATATATATATATATATATATATATATATATATATATATATATATATATATATATATATATATATATATATATATATATATATATATATATATATATATATCAGTTGGAGAAACTATGAGGCGCCAAACTAAAATGTGATCAGCCAATCAACGGCTAGAGTGGGCGGGGCAATGACTATACGGTCATAAAATCAGAAAACTTCATCTTTTCCATGCATCCTAGCATTCAAATGAAAAATAAGGCATAAGAATGTTTTTAACCACACAAGGCCTACACTCACTCGGTGCACAATGCACTGGTGGCTCTAAATCGCAGAGTTACAATACAAGGTCAAACAGCAATTGATAAATATGGCGGATTGAAACAGACCAGACGCACCAAAAAATGTAAGCAGCACCCGGCACCATGGTTTCAAAATGTCATAATTTTTATTATTTTGTTGATGGTTTTACATTTTGGTTAAATTATGATTTTAAGTTAAATATCCATATTTATTGTAATTAAATCAAATCTTTTAACAATTTTCTTTCAAAACACCGATCCATTTATGGAATTGGAATGACCAGCTATAGTCCATTTTTTTTTCAAAAGGCTCATGGCCCGAAGTATTATTTTGGAGTAGGCACGTGCCAGACGCTAGAAAATAACGCAAGCCGAGAAGAATTTCGCGGCCATTTTTGAAAGATAAGCACAGTGCAACGCAAGGCCATATAACGGAGCGAGTTGTTCAATTTAGCTTTTAAATCGTGTCACATTACAGAATGTTAGTAAATTCATAGATTTGAGCCATCCTGTTGATTTTGAATGCAAATTTAACGTCACTCCTGTATTAACCTTGATTCCACAGCCAGCCCATCACTTGAGAAATAGCAAGCGGCAACTATTTAAACATTCGAGACGGAATCTGTCGGGGGCCGGAATTCTGAACGGCAAGCTCATGGAAAACATGCCATTGTCAGCTGCTGAAGCTGGTGACGTTCCATGTTGTTGTCTTACACTGTGTTCTCGCGTGCTACCTACAAACTTCAGTCGTCTTTTTATAAGTCAAAGTCTTTCCAGATTTAGTTGGCGCATACCCGACTTCTTCCCAGTGCAGAAATCGTTCGATCAGCATTGTAATAGATCGGCAGATATGCTGGCTCATGTTTCTTTTTGTACTCAGCAGAAATAAATCTAAAACAAAATGTCAATCCGTGTGTTACTTTTGTAGGTCTGCAAACAGGTCATCCACGTGATCAGTTTAATCATTTGTTTAGTGCCTATGGCTAGACCCCGTGTGGAAGCATTTTCGATTCACAGTTCCTCATTATGAGTCGTATGTCTATTGTCTATACTTTTTTCCAAACTATCGCAAGTCAGAGACCAGCCGATCGAGCCGGCCAGTCAAACGTGCCAAGCCGGTGTTCGTTGATTTCTGTAAAAACCATCACTTTGCACGTGACAATTCTAAAATCGATTTTCGGGCCGTGCGCCTTTTGAAAAAAAATTGACTATAATTGTGACACCCAGAACCTGCAGGCTGCAGAAAAGCTGTTTTCCTATCAACGTTTTCCAGTGAATTTGCGGAATTTAATCAAACCACATTAATCCCTAGTGGAAAATGGAAACCTTTGCTCTCTAATAAGTGGGAGCCATACTGCAAAGTGCAAATACCGGCACGTTAAACCGTTTTTCACCCGTAGTAGCGAGGGCTGCATTTATGCCGATATATGGTCATCAAAAGTCTATTAATTGACCGATCAATTTTTTGGATCTTCGCCTCGTAGTTTCCCCAACTGATATTGATATGAATCTTGCAACAAGAAATGCAATGCAACTGTTGACATTTTTACAATTATTAACACCATTGGAAACATTGGGAAAGTAGCTACTTACCAATTAAATTAAATTTACACTCTATAAACAACCAAAATTCAGCTTTTAAATCACAAAAAAACAACCGTTTTCTTCTCAGACCCGCGGGTTTGCCTTGGACCCGCGGGACCCGCGTGCGTCCACTTTCCGCCGAGGCAAATATCGGAAATCAATAAGGCTCATTTTTCCGTTCACTTGAGTGGGATTCCCTCCTAGCCGACAACAGAATGCGCAAGGGGTTCGCCGTGTTTGTCCCCTATGGTGTGTTCTTAATTCTGTGAACTTAAAATGGTGTAACAGAAAGACATTTGAAAATCACTTGTTATTTGAAAGTTATCAAATATTGGCGTAGGAAAACTGAGAAATTCAGAAGAGAATATTTCATATAAATAAAAATGAGCGTAATCTTTTTAACACTGATCATGAATCAACGAACTTCGATGTTACTCTTCCAGCCGCATCGGCTGCTTGCGCAGTGTGAATCGCATAGAACATGCTTACTTGCAAACGCTATAAATCCGAATGGATTTCTCGCCGCATGTCGCTGGCGGATTGATGCGGAACGACCTTGGATCCATTACGGCCTTGGATACAGCGATTCCTGTGAGTTTATCACTGACTTTTTTGGGGAGACTGGCCTCGTGAGAACCCATAGTAACATTCCCTTGAAATAAGCCGATCTTTTTTCCTAAGCTCGACCGATGAGGCTGGATTGTTACGGGGCATGGGGGTTTGGGCAACAAATAGCATTTTAATGAGATGCTCGGATTTGGGTTTCGTACATGTTTCCTAACGAGTTAGCTTCGTATTCCAGGTGCTCCCGTCTTAAAATGTAATGTGCTGTGCGCGGAAACCATTTTAAGTTGAGCTTGAACTTGACCGGAACTGGAAGCCATTGTCGTAGCATTTACCGGCGCCGGCGAAAAACGACGTTGTAGGTAGGTAGCTATGTCAATTGCCAGTGCAATAATTGGTTTTCGATGGAATAAACATCCTCAGGTAGGATCATAATCATTCCATTATCAAATCATGGCGTTGGTATTCCCTATCCTGTCCCCCCCAGGTTTCGGTCACAGACCAACAGATGTCGCTACCTGTCGCTTTGCGCCGGTGAACGGGGGGTGCGGCTAATTGTGGGCTACGCTTTTGCGAAACTGCCAAGTTTGGCAGCCCAACTCGACCAAAGCGAAATACGCCTAGAACCATCCTGGTAACCTGTCAGACCGACTCAGAACGACTCAAACTGACTCAGACCGGCTCAACCGACTCAAATCGATTCCGATCGACTCAGACAGACTCAGAACGACTCAGGCAGACTCAAACCGACTCAGGCAGACTCAAACTGACTCGACCGACTCAAACCGATTCAGATCGACTCAGACCGACTCAAATCGATGCCGATCGACTCAGACATACTCAGAACGACTCAGACAGGCTCAAACCGATTTAGGTAGACTCGACCGATTCCGATCGGCTCAGACCGACTCAGATAGACTCAGAACGACTCAAACTGACTCAGACCGACTCAACCCATTCAAATCGATTACGATCGACTCTGACAGACTCAGGCGGACCCAGGCAAACTCAAACCGACTCAGGCAGACTCAAACTGACTCGACCGACTCAAACCGATTCAGATCGACTCAGACCGACTCAGATCGACTCAAACTAACTCAGACCGACTCAAACGACTCAAATCGATTCAGATCGACTCAGACAGACTCAGAACGGCTCAGACAGACTCAGGCAGACTCAAAACGACTCAGGCAGAATCTAACTGACTCGACCGACTCAAACCGATTCAGATCGACTCAGATAGACTCAGAATGACTCAGACCGACTCAACCGACTCAAATCAATTCCGATCGACTCAGACAGACTCAGAACGACTCAGACATACTCAGACAGACTCAAACCGACTCAGGCAGACTCAGAATGACTCGACCGACTCAATCCGATTCAGATCGACTCAGACCGACTCAATCTGACTCAGGCCGACTCCAGCGACTCAAATCGATTCCGATCGACTCAAGACAGACTCAGAATGATTCAGACAGTCTGTGAGTCTGTCTGAGTCAATCGGAATCAATTTGAGTCGGTTGATTCGGTCTGAGTCAGTTTGAGAGTCGTTCTGAGTCTATCTGAGTCGGTCTGAGTCGATCTGAATCGGTTTGAGTCGGTCGAGTCAGTTTGAGCCTGCCTGAGTCGGTTTTAGTCTGCCTGAGTCCGCCTGAGTCTGTCTGAGTCGATCGGAATCGATTTGAGTCGGTTGAGTCGGTCAGATCGACTCAGACCGACTCAGTCTGACTCAGACCGACTCAACCGACTCAAATCGATTCCGATCGACTCAGACAGACTCAGAACGACTCAGACAGTCTGTGAGTCCGTCTGAGTCGATCGGAATCGATTTGAGTCGGTTGATTCGGTCTGAGTCAGTTTGAGAGTCGTTCTGAGTTTATCTGAGTCGGTCTGAGTCGATGAAGTCAGTTTGAGTCTGCCTGAGTCGGTTTGAGTCTGCCTGAGTCCGCCTGAGTCTGTCTGAGTCGATCGGAATCGATTTGAGTCGGTTGAGTTGGTCTGCGTCAGTTTAAGTCCTTCTGAGTCTACCTGAGTCGGTCTGAGTCGATCTGAATTGGTTTAAGTCGGTCGAGTCAGTTTGAGTCTGCCTGAGTCGTTCCGAGGTTGTCTGAGTCGATTGGAATCGACTTAAGTCGATTGAGTCTGTCTGAGTCAGTTTGAGTCGTTCTGAATCTATCTGAGTCGGTCTGAGTCGATCTGAATCGGTTTGAGTCGGTCGAGTCAGTCTGAGTCTGCCTGAGTCGGTTTGAGTCTATCTGAGTCTGTCTGAGTCATTCTCAGTCTGTCTGAGTCGATCGGAATCGATTTGAGTTGGTTGAGTCAGTCTGAGTCAGTTTGAGTCGTTCTGATTCTATCTGAGTCGGTCCAAGTCGATCTGAATCGGATTGAGTCGGTCGAGTCAGTTTGAGTCTGCCTGAGTCGGTTTTAGTCTGCCTGAGTCGTTCTGAGTCTGTCTGAGTCGATCGATTTGAGTTGGTTGAGTCGGTCTGAGTCAGTTTGAGTCGTTCTGAGTCTATCTGAGTCGATCTGAATCGGTTTGAGTTGGTCGAGTCAGTGTGAGTCTGCTGAGTCGGTTTGAGTCTGCCTGAGTCGATCGGAATCGATTTGAGTCGGTTGAGTCGGTCTGAGTCAGTTTGAGTGGTTCTGAGTCTATCTGAGTCGGTCTGAGTTGGTACGTTATCTTCTCCTACCCAGTGACGTCACAGCATGCGTCGGCTTGGCACGGCGGCCACAGGTGGGGTGCGGCTAATGGTGGTATCTCGCTTTGGTCGAGTTGGGCAGCAACTTGGGCGGTTTCGCAAAAGCGTAGCCCACAATTAGCCGCACCCGTGAACGGGCGACCGTCGGCCGGCTGGCTGGAGTTTGGGTTGCGTAGGATTTACAGATGGCGCTGCATTCGCGGACTGCGGCGGCTGCGCCTGCGGTACACAGCTGCCCGACCCAAGCCCGACCGGGGTGGTGTTTGTGTTTGGGCTTTATTTTTCCGGCGGATGTGTGTGCTACTGTTCGGGTGGGTTTCTGAACGGTTTAATTGCGCCTCGCTGAGTTTACTATTGTTGCATCATAGAACAATTTTGTTTTGTGTCCTGATCATGTCTGAGTAGACCAAGACTGTAAAGTTAGAGTTGTGATGGAAATGTGACACAGGATTGCATGGCGAGTGGTGGCGGAATGGCTGCCTGACGACGTTTTCAAGTCGCCATTGCATTGTATTCTAAGAATATTTTGGAGGAAAAACATCTCTGCTGCTTAAAACTTTTACTGCTGGTGTGGAGTTGTAGGCCTGAGTCATGAGTGTGTGCTGAGGCTGTACCTACCTTACAATGATACAATTTAAAGTATCTTAATCTATCCACTCTGTTTTAACTTGCATGATGCAACTTCAGCTGTTGTAAGCTGCTCTACCCTTACCTCTACCTGACCAGTCAATTTAGTGTTTGTCATTAGATACCTACTCGTTCATTTGTCTTTAGATCTTTTTTAGATAACATTATCTGTATTCTGTTGTCACATTTGTAGCATTGGTGTTGTGCCTAATGTCCCTAGGCTTATTTTCAGTTGGCTTTGGCATGTAGCTAAAGGTTGAGCTGCCTTTTGGTTTTGGGCCACCTGCAGACATGTGTTTGCCCTGAAGTCTGACCTACCTAATACCTACCTAATTTTCATGTGTGTGCTTTTTCTTGTGGGCTTTATGCTTTCATGCCATGCTAGAACTGCCAGATTTTATAATTAATTCTGTCATTGGTGGAGTGTGTCACTGTTATTCAGCTTTCAGGTTTATACCCCTGTTTCTCTATGAGTAAAATATGCATATTTGAAGGGAGTCAAGACTCAGACCAGTATGCAATAAGGTATCAACTAAACATGCTTGTGCTTAATGCTACCCAAACATCTAAAATGTTGATGTGGTCTAGCCATCAAGGTTTAGTTTGTCATCACATTTTCTTCTGATCTTGAGGACATTCCCCTCAAGGCAGTCAACATTTATGCAAGTTTATTATGATTGATAAGATCCTTTTCCTGCTATGACTTTCAGGAACCATTTCACATCTTTAAACTGCTGTTGACTGAGCCGTTTGACATTCTTTTTCAGGGACATCAAGGCATTTAAGAATTGAGCATGTTCATTTTTATCAATTTAATAGTCACATGTTTCTATCCAGTTAGGAACAGCATTGCCAAAGGTCTGTGGGTGGCTGCAAATCCCTTCTTAGATGTACACACTGAGACCTCAGGCCTGAGCCAATATTTAGTCTTTTTGTCAGCAAGCTTATCTGCAGAGAGAAGAGTTGGTCTTTTCCTAAACATAGGCACAATTTAAGATTTATGGCTGACTTTTCAAAAGTGATCACTTGGGCTGCATTGTTACTTTTTATTATTCTAGCACTTCCAAGTTCCACCATCACTCTAAGTGATGGCTGGATTATAACACTTTGACGCTTGAGGCATTGTATGCCCATTTTATTTGGGCTGCTAGTGCTAATTGATGTAGGGTCAACGACGAATGGCAGTCTTTAGATCATCAAAACATTATGGAAATGGTGTTATTATTCTTATATCTCGCCCGTATAGGGAGGATGTCGAACGGACCCCCTTGTATTTTTTCGCGAATAACTCTCGTAAAAAGCGGCCGATCACCACGAAACTTTCAGTTCCCTCGAGTTAATTAATTTTACACCTACCCTTAAAATTTAATGACCCTGACCCAAAGCACGTTTGACCTGTCACCTATTTCTCGAGATCATGTTTGGCTGGAATCGCGGTTCGGCATATGTCGGCTCGCATTAGCCGCGCCACGGATCACATAACGGATCGGCAACTCCCCCCCGCGATCTGTCTCCCCTGCCACCTGGTGGGCATTTAGGTGAACTATCTTCACTAAGGAAGCGGCCGGCCTCGTGCGTGTTGAGGGCGTCGTGTCGGAGCTAATTAAAGGGACCCTCCCACCTTCAAAAAAGTTAATGAATTGGCATGAAAGTGATGTCGCTCGGTTCAGAAAGAGCAAAAACGAATATCTACCAAATTTCATCGAAAAATATTCACCGGTTTTCAAGATATTAGACTTTTACTTTTGTTTACTTTTTGGGATCTCCGCTGTTCCTAGCGACTTTATTTGAAATGGCGGCATTTGTTGCGCGCAAAGCAGCATATACCACCGCGTGCTACAAAACGTTTTAGTCAAACATTTAACGGACGTTCGAAAGCCTGATGACGTCATCAGATTCCCGTAATGGTTAAGAGATAGGGACCACGCTGGTCCCACCCTGCAAGTAAAGGGAAGAAATTTCTTGAACACCATAAAGCTGCGGGGGTTGCGACCAGGATAAATGGTGGTTTCTGAGCCTGGCCGCAAACTTGGCTATCTCAACTCAAAACTAATGTTAAGGTGGGAGGGTCCCTTTAAGTGATTTTTCTGCGGAACATGGTTTCTCAGCTAGCTCAGAAGATACCTATGGTATAAATGAGAATGGCAAGAATCGTTAGAGACAGGTTAAGTATTTGAGATCGTATCCTTTGTCATGAAAATCGTTGTTTTCATACCCACGTGGGCGACCTAGCGTCCATCGCTAAATTGGTAATTTTCCGATCGCTGTCATCTCTTACATATATTTCATGAGTACATTTTTGATAAATATTCATCTGCCGATTAAATTAAATCTATAACTTTCACAAATATCCTACTTGCATAAAGTATAAACCCACGCCGGGCCGGTACACGGTACCAACCGCGCCGGGCCGAGGGTGTATGAAACCCCCGCCCCCTCCTAACTCGGCTTCTGGGCTACGTAGCCACACGGGGTAAGCGGCATTCCAAAGGGCGTAAAAATAATGGCGGAAATACTTCGGTCATTTTTTTAGGTCAGATCAAAGGTCGGGTCACCAGAGGTCATTAAAGGCAAATTTTGTCTATTTCAACAATTTTCGAAACATCCGACGCATAACTTGGGAACCAACAGAACTACAGAGGCGCGGAAAAGCGCATTCGATAGCTCTTTCACAGGTCCTTCTGAGTTTTATTCACAGATTTAACCTCAGGTCAACGGTTTAGCGTCCAGAGAGCAAAATCTCCAAAAATAGCCGTGTTTACGAAAAACGTTTTTTTCGGTAATATCTTTTGACTCAAACGAGCCACGACATTACTTTTGCCAGCATCGTGTTCCTCTCGTCGAGACGCGTCGAATGAACTATAGGTTGACCTTGAAAGGTCATTTTGAAAATCTTACGTCAGGTGAAGGTCATGACCTGACCGGAAAGGGTCATTCTGCATATCAGTCGATCCGTATCGTCGAGCTGAACACATCTGACGTGTTTTCATCGCTCTAGCACGTCTCTATCAAAAGTTATAGTAAAAAACTGCTGGTGAACGTTTTTATTCCACTGTTTACATACATGTAACCCGATGTTTGAGGGTGTTAAGGATGACCCGCCCAGACCAAATGAGACGCCTTTCAATTTGCTCTTATTGAATTATTATTAGTATTACACATATTATTATGCATATAGAGAGAGAGAGAGTATTGAGTATGCGGCAATATATAGGGTGCAAAATGACCTGACCTGGCTCTAAGCCACAGATATTTTGAGATGTCTGATGTAACACGTGGCTAAACCAGCCTCGGGGCCAAAGCTATACGAGCACTGTTTAGCAGCACGCTGTTACCCAGTACCTAGCATCATCAGGTATGGGTGCCTCCGTTCCTATGGAAACGTAAGCAAACTTCACAATGTTGCCAACGTCTTAATGGAAACCGGCTAAGTGTCAATACCTTGTAGCGGCGGGGAGGGTCGTATCGTGAAACAGGGGCCGAGATCCACCTATAGTCACGTTAATGGCCAGCTCGTTGGATTTGCTCCGATGTTATCTACTCCAACTGGTAGCCTGTGACCATCGAGATAGGAACAGAGGATGAACTCGTACTATGGGCAGACGGATGAGGAAAGGTGGCTTCGTGTACGGCCAAAAACGACGTTAAAGTTGCGAGGACGTGCTTCTTGCTCATACAACTCAAGCATGACTAGAAACATTTGTATCATTATGCATGCTCCAGCTGATTAGGGAATAAAGTATGTAACATTTCCATGTTATGGTAACATTCCAGCTGTTAGAGAGACTCTGTAATTTAATCCGTTCACAACCTTTGATTGTTTTTGTTTTGTTGGGTTAGGCCCTTTCGGTCCATTGAGACCATTGCAGAGCCGGAAGGATTATAGGAATTGGGGGAAACATTGGTATGGACAGGCACCCTAGAGAGTCACCGGGGCTGAGCCCGTCCCAATGGACAGGACGACCAGCCCCCCAAGCACTCTCTGCACCCGGCTACGGGTGTGCTCCCTAGGGAGCAGTGGTGCGCTTCAAGGGAGCAGCCCGCATGAGATAAAGTTGCCTGTCCAGTCCGGATCGAGAGTTGCTGCGTGGAGGAGAAGGATTTGAACTTGATCTGAACATCCTGAGGATGTAAACGACGGACGGGTGTTGCGTTCACACCCGTTTCCCCGTGCCTTTTAACACTGGTTGCGGCGGGCGGCCGGCTCCCTCCTTAGTGAAGATATCCGCGCCGCTAGATGGCAGCCCGCTCCGCGGGTACACCGATAACAATGGGAAGCGGGGAGAGTTGCCGATCCGTTAGGTGATCCGTGGCCGCGCGTTTGCAGTCTTCGTGGTTTCAAGCGTTCAAACATGTGACATGATGTTGGTCCCATGGATCAGGTTGGGTGTAAAGGTCACCTGAAAGTCAGGTCAGTTCATTGGTCTTTGATGACCTCGGTTTACTTGTTCGTGTTTTACATGTTTCTAGACTAGTTTTTGGAGCTGATATCGAATTTAGCAACCATTTGAACATTTACGAAGTAGTTTTGGTGCCTTCGTAACATGTAACGAAGCTGTCAGAGGCGGTTGGCACGTAGGTAGGTACTACGAATACCCGGCAGGACCCCTTCTGGTTGACCTGACCCGACCCGAAATGGCCTAAATGCACAAAGACATCATCTGTGATCAAAACTTACATGATAATCGTTATCAACACCCCGAAAAATCTCCTAGCAGCCACACTTTACGACGTTTTAACAGGTCCCAATTTCCCGACTTTTGGGTCATTGACCTGACCTGGAAGGTCAACCGATGACCTAGGACCTTAATATTGGGTATCATCGGCTTCCTCTCGTCACGGGCAACACGCTCGTCTTTTCCTCGAAGCTCTAACTCGATCAGGGGCCAAACGCAAGGGGGGGGGGTCGTACCAGGGCCGTACCAACCCCCACCCCCTTGTGTCGTCGAAGTAGGTACGCAAAATGACCTGTGCCGGCGAGGGTTAAAGAGCTATCGAATGTGCTTTCCCGCGGCGCTGTAGCTCTATCCGTTTCTGAGTTAAGCGCCCATTTGTCGAACATTGTCGAAAGAGACTGAAACTAGCCTTCGATGAGCTCTGGTGACCTGACAAAAATTGACAAAATCAAAGAATTTCCTCATGCTTTTTTGTGCTTTTTTAACGTCTTCTGCGTGTCGCTAAGTGGCTCAGGAGCCGAGCCAGTGAGGGAATGTTCTCGCCAGTGAGGGGGTGTTCTCCACGCCCCCCCTCCAGCAGGGCGTGGAAATCTCGGAGGGTGTTGCTTAACCATGAATAGTCTATGGTTTCCGGTTAATTGCATAAATGTCATGGTGCGTCCCTTGACCCGGCAGCCATCCATAGTTGAGGCAATGGAATTTAGCCGATTCGGACATCTAATCTCACGTTGACAATCCTGCATGACAGACATTTGTTCTGCAGTGTGTTACTATGTAAATGATGAAGGATGGGCGTTTTGCGCCACAATCACTCATCGCCACTATTTCAGAGCGACCAGCATTTTCCGCCATATTTCGACCTGAGGCCAGTTTTACCAACAGAAAAATAGCCGCCTGCCGAAATTTTTTGCATTAAGACCTCTTCACATACGGAGCGTAAACGTGCTGGGCACGTAAGCGGATAGGGCTTTACCGTTTACGCTCCATGTGTGAAGCGGTCTCTAGGCAAAACATTCCGGCAGGCGGCTATTTTTCTGTTGGTAAAACTGGCCTCTGACCTTCCCTGACCTCAGACGGTTCCGATCAGCTCAGCGACTGCCGCATTCACGCATGAGTGTTGATTGATCCACTCGTATTATTGTGGGTGATCGCTTTCGTGTAGTAAAGCATTCTCTTTTTTCGTGAAATCCACACGAACTTCCTTTTGCCGTTGTCAATGCACTTATGTTTGTTTCTGTTTTTCATTCCAGATCATATTCAAGAATGCCATAGTGATTCCCAGCAACTTAAATGTGACTGAAGATTTGCTTGGCGTTGTTGGATGATGTGTCGCCGAGAACTAAGCCAACCAAGCTTTATTTGTGTGTGTTTTTAAGAGCTCAAATACCCAACAGGCTCGAACAGTATGAGTTTGCTGGATACGTGGTCCTGGCAAAAATTTGTACAGTACTGAAGAAAGTCCAGCCTTACATCGAGTCAGCTGTGTTGGTGGCTTGCCACATCAAAGTCGATGAGTGCTCGAATGCGCTCGGTATATGGTAGGGGAGGTATTGGAAGGTCTGCTGTACCGAGAGCATAGATGTTAAAGCAAAACATGGAAAGCGGCCCACCAGAGATACCACTGCTGATCTTACCAGATGAGCCCGTTGAGCATGACAGTTCTGTGGCGGCAGAAGACGTTGTCGGGACTGCTTCAAAACTTTCGTCTGAAAGTGAATCATCCTCGCATTTGGTACCATCGATGGCTTCACCCGAAAGTGGTTCAGTTGTAGAGGCATGCACCAAAGCTAGCTTGACATCCTCTAACAACAGCGCTTCGACTTCAGAAGAGCAGAGCGCAGCTACCTGTGCCATCAGTACCGTCCAAGATGTACGTGAAGCTGGCCCATCATCATCAAACGCTCCGGTTGACATTACCGTGGACGTGATGGCTAGTGGCGATCTCGCTGGGTCAGGTGATGAAGCTGGCCCGCCTCTCCTACAGACGGAAGCATTGCTGCCCTATACGGCCTCAGACGCTCCAGCAGACCCGGAGCAGAACAGGGAAGTTTTGCCGCCCCGAAAGAAGCTCGGCGCCTGCAACAAAAGCACGAAACCAACACTTGCGCCGCCTGTGCTTCAGCCAGAGGTTATTACCATTGATGACGAAGAACCGGCGTGTGATTTTGAGGAACCACCAGTGCTGCTGGCAGAGGTAGCCGTTACTCGTAAACGTAAAGGAATTGTTCGCAAAAGGAGCTTCTTTGGAAACACGGTCGACAGCAGCATGTTGAAAGAGTCATTGCTGGAGTGTAGTCCTGCTAAAAAAGCTCACAAAGGTGGCACGGTACATCCTGATTTCCCCAGCCGCGGGAAAGACGACGACGTTACACTTCTGCTGTCTGGATGTGGGAAAACTGGAGGCGATGGAGCGTCTCCCAAACCAAGGACGCCGTCCAAGTCGGGTGTGGTTTCCGTTAAAGTGGACAGTAAGAAAATTGAAAACCATCCCGCTGGTCCACGCCCACACAATCGTCAGGTTTCGGAAAAGAATTTGTTTGTCGCCCTGTCTCCCGGAAATAAGGAAAGCTGTAAAGGCGATCAGAAGACGACTATTCTCGTAAGGAAGGACAGACCGTTAGCGCGTCGCATGGGCTCAGGCAGTCAGCCGAGTCGTCGCAGCGGCGCAGCTCGGTGTAGACCGGCCAGCGTGCAAAATCAGCGTCGCTTTGTTGGTGCAGGTGATAACGAGCGCATCAAATCGACAGGGTGGCGTTCAGTACCTACAGTGCCGTTGGACGATGTCGCTTCGCAGTGCGGCTACGTGAGTATCAGTGAACACAAGCGAGAAGTGTTTGCTCCCCTCCCTCTGCCACCCGGCGATCTTGTGACGCTGCCACGCAACCCGGAGCTGGCCGAGCGTATGCAGAAAATTGTCGAGGCTGATGGCTCAGATCCTGAGGGTGTTTTCACGAGTAGCGCACTGGAAGGATTTCTCGAGGAGAAGGCTCCACTGAAGTTGAGCTTTCCCGTACCAGACTGTCTTATGCCTAAGGAGAAGCTGACTGATAGAGATGCAGAGTACCCGCCACCTGCTCAGCCGCCGCCTGCCATCGTGCGGCCACGAGGAGAACCGCGCTTCAAAACACTGCTAGAGAAGCAGGTGTGGCTAGGAATGCGCGACGAAAAGGATCTGAGGGCTCTCCGACCGGCGCAGTCGCCGTCCAAAGACGACTCGACTGATGCTCTGCCGCTGTACTCCCTTCTCCTACCGCCTCGCTACCTGTCCCCAGCTCGATCTTCGCGTGACTTGTCAGTGCATAGAGGTCGCCATCTTCTCCCACTGTCTAAAGTCATGCACAAGTCACTGGACATGCGGCGAGCCTGGGACAAACCAGCAGAGGGCGCCGACTGCGTACAGTTCATATACGATGGGCATCGCCAGGTGCGTATCCGCGGCTCTGGATCCCTTAACGATGGACCGACGACTCGTGGGTATGGGAAACTGCTGCGCCCTGAGTCGGTGGAGGAGAAGGTGAACGCTTGGCGTGAAAATGACTTCCAGGTGTTGACGGAGTCGGTAAGCCGCGAGCGGGCTCTGCTGGCGGCGGCCACAGTCCAAGACATGCCACCGACTCCTTCGCGAGAGCAGCCAAGTCCAGCAACTTCTAGTCACGTCACTCCAAGTCTGCGACTCAGTCCGGCTGCTGTGCGCCACAGCTCTCGTACTCCCAGACCGCGAAGACGCCTGTTACTGGAAACTGAAGGCGCGGACGAAACTGCGGACTCCTATTCGGGTGACATGGCAACGTCTTTACCGGAAGATAAGGTGACCGCTGAAGTCGAAATCGATTCTTTCGAGCCAAAGATTCACAGAGTTGATAACACGCCTCGGTCGGTTCCCAACGAACAAAGTCACATCGATGAAAAGTCTGTGTGCAGTGACATCCGAAAGCTGGCGGAAGCTACAGTTGACAAAGGTGTACATGACAGCTCTGTTTCTGATGAACAGAAAGATTGTGTTCGTCTTGAGGTGGCAGGTCACCAAGGCGAAGGCATTGTGACTGGTGCGGAAGAATGCAGGGCAGACGAGAAAGCTGGGATAGCCGGTGACGCAGCTGAAACATATGATGATGGAAGGGCTGACGCCTCAGTGAATTGCAAAGAAAATAGCTACGATTCCAACGGGGACTGTGCTTCGGAAGAGGAGGTTCAGAATCATTCAAGCTCTGGCGTACCCTTTGTCGAGCAGAATGACGATGCCTGTGTCATTCAAGACACCGTTGGCAATGGCAACGAGAACGACATGGCGGACAAAAACAGCGACGGGAAGAACGGGCTGGAGAAGGACGAGATCGACGCCACAATTGATTCACCTAGCAGCACCATTGAACAGACTGAGGCTATCGACTATCGGGATGACAACCTAGACAGAACAAAGGATGCCTTAGTCGTCATCCATGAAACCACTCCTTCCGACAACAAGGGTAATGTCTTTGTCCAAAAGAACGAAGCATGCACCGCGGAAGGTAACAGTGAAGAAGACCACAGGGGCAACACGGACGACAAATCCGGCAACGACCAGCAAAAGGACAAACTGAAAAGTGAAGATGTTGATTCCTTTGCCAACCCACCACACAGCGCCGATGAAGAGGTGGAGGTCGCCGGCTGTTTTGATGTTAACCTAGGCGCAACTGGGAGCTGTTTGGAGGCGCTGGAAGATTCCCATGTTTCAGAGAGCGATGAACATACCCTTGCTCAGCAGAATGACGTTACCTGTGCTGATGGAGAGAAGTATGACAGGGACCAGGATTACGACGCGGAAGACAACATCAGCAACGACCAGCAAAAGGTCGAGACGAAAAGCCAGAAGACTGATTCGACTGTCAATCTACCCAACAGTGCCCCTGAAAAGACGAAGGTTTTCGACACAACAAAAGACACTTTCGGGACGACCGAGTTCATATGCGATTCCAATCGGGCTCTCCACGAACCTGTCCTGAAACGGAGCGATAGCAAGGAAGCAGAGGTACAAGCCTGCCTCGGGCCAGATACTCTGGAGGATTTCAGTGCTGTGGCTAATGTTTCAGGAAATGTCGAAGTGGTCGAGAACGATGAGCATGATGATACTGTCGATCTGCAAGCGTTACAGAGGGAAAACTCGACTGATGCTGGTGTGTTACTGCATAGTGCAGCCGAATCTGCAAGTGTCGACGCAGCTCATGAAGCGTCTGAGAGCGCCTCGCCAGTGGATCGCCTTTCATTCTTCAAGTCATTGCTGGAGAAATATAGTCGGCCCCAAAATGTTCAGACTGCTGTGTCAACTGACCAATCATCACCCACTCAGAATGTGTCGATGGGGTCTGGCACATGTTCAGGAACTGAATGTGCCTCCGACCGGTTTTTGAAAAAAGAAGGCCTCGATATGGCAAAGGCTTTGGTAGCATCCCTTCTTAAAACCACTAGCGCTGTGACAACGACGACGCTTGACAAAAACGAGGAAAGAAATCGCGACCTATCGGGTGAGAAGGAGATCAAAATGGAACCTACCTGCAGCGAAGAAACCAATTCACCCCAGTCTCAGAAATTGAGTGGCGGCAGTGCCTCTTTCTGTAAAACTGAAGTGATTGCATCAGGGGAACAAGCTTCAATCGCGGGAGGTCTGCAAGCTGACAGCGCCAACTGCAAGAACGATGAGTCTTTTGATGAAAAAGACGACCTTCGTCCCCTCTCCAGGGCAGGAGGTCCAAGCTCTGCCGTGATTACCCATGAAACAAAGGCGGAGAAACTTCCAGTCTCAGACTGTGACACGGAAATCGCAACAGCCCTTCGCGCATGCGTCCACCTTCCCCGTTTTCATCCGACTGCGGTGCGGCCGTTTTGCATCTTCCATGAAGTGCACAACTGCCCGGAATACCGTATTGGCGGCAGCTGTTTCATGACTGCCCAGCGCTCGCGGATTTTACAACTACAGCGAAACTTGGCCATCCGCACTGGGCGCCTGCCGGCACTGCCGGCTCGGCACCAGCACACGGCACGCACATTTGGCCGTGTTCGGCCCAAGGGAGTGCGTGTGAAACACACGGCCGAATCTTGTGTTGCCCTGCTTCCGATCCCCGACGGAGCACCGCTCCCAGTGACTAGGCTGCCTCCCGTCAGACCCCCTCTGCGTCGCTTCCGTCTTCCGGAAAACGTACGGGTCTCTGATGTGCGAGAAGTGGTGGTGCTGACGCCGGTCCGGCCAGGTGACGGCTCCTCGTGTTACAGTGTGCGTCTGGCCAGTGGCGATCTCTGTCGTGTTGGGCCTGGTGACGTCCACGCGGGCGAGGCTTGGCGAATGCAGCCAGCTGACGACGTGATTGTCGTAGCTGCCGACGGCCGCCGCTTCCGGAACCCACAGGATCGCGACTGCACGGATTCCGTGGATGTGGAGAAACCGGCCGGCAATGTGACTCAGCTGTCACTAGCTGATGTCAACCGCAGCATCTCCCAAGGTCAGATGCTGATGAGTGGTTCGGATGGTGGCCTGGTGCTCTCGCCGTCGCGAGTACGCGTGATGTGCCGAGACAGGCTGCGCCGTGTCGCTGTCGGGTGTAAAGGCAGACGGGAGGTGTTCGAGACGGGCACCGTGGTGGTAAGGGAGGACGCTGGGCAGCTTGCGGTGATCGGTGCCCTGCCGCCAGAGGTGACACTACACCCTGACAAGGAGTCCGGCTCGGAGGTAAGTGGTGCGCCCCAGTCGGTACAGCACGGCTCCGGTGAGTCAGGCAGCAACACCGCACCCGGATCGACGAAGCTGACCGTGGACGATAGCAATGCTGAACTGCAGGTAATCGGCACCGTGCAAGGAAGGTCTAAGAAGCAGCAACAGCAGCACGCGACTTGCCAGAAGAGGACCGCTAGCGGGGACACCAACGTGGTGAAAAAGAAGCGTCGACGTGGGTCTAGCGAACGTCGGTCAATGACTGCGAAGGACGATGACAAGGTCAAGCAGAGGAAGGCCCTGTTGGCGTCCACACAACCTCGTAGTAGCAACGGCAAGTTCCTCTCTGCGACAAAGCCAGTGACCAAAACGCTGGTTGTTTCTCGCCCAACCACTGGAAACGTCAGTAAGGCAACCGCAGATAGCGATAATGTGGTGGTGGTTTCGGCAAAGAAAGCTCGGATGCTGTGCGAGATGCCGGCACCCGTCACGGAAGCCGAAGTACCATCTGTACCAACACCCAGCTGGCTGATGAGTCGCCTACACAGTGTGACAGTTGAGGTGGTACCGACAGCTGACAAGACAGAACTCACTAAGAAGCTGCCCAAGACGGTGGTAAAGACAGTGTCCCCGTTGATGCGGAAAAAGCCGTCTACCCCTGCGACAGGCCAACCCTCCAAACCAATGTCGGCAACAGGAGTGCTGATGTCGGTGATACAGAAGATCTCTAAGAACGATACAAACCCTGCCGAGAGCTCGTCATCGGTCGTGGGAGAATCGGCCAACTTATCATCGGCGACATCGGCTCAAGAGTTTTCCCAGGATAGCTCTGCTGCTGAAGTACTAAAGGATGCCCGGCAGTCAAAGCCAAAGATGAAGTCATTTACCCCAGCGAAACCACTCAGCGGAAGACAGGCACCAAAGGCTGGCGTTGACGTCAATCCCAATCGGTCGCTATTGAAACGATCCTTCATCGCCGAGACGACCGAGTCTGTGTCACCCGTTGCTTCGGTGCGAGGTCCTCGCGCACGACCGGGACAGAGTTCTCGGCGCAGAAGACCAACAGGTCCGCTGTCACCGAACGGAACGGCTGCGCGAATCTGTGACCCAGCGCGGCCCAAGGTGCGGCGCAAGAGCTGGGCTGACCTGCCCTCATCGCGCCAGAGCTGGACCAACGAAGATAACGCTGTCGAAAAAGCGGCCGGGATCATCCTGCCGCGCCGACGCTCCTGGGACAACCCCGCGGCGCGCCAGAGCTGGACCACGCCGGGCGCCAGCCGGCGGCGGGCTCGCAGGAAGTCCGACATCCCGCGGACTAGCCGGCCGCAGGGGCTGGTGGCTAGCCCGTCAGCGCCGCCACCGCAGACCTCGGCAGCAGCGGACGCTCAAACGGCACGGACGGACGCCAGCGAGCCGGCCGCGCCGCGGCTCAGTCCGCCGGTCGGCCGGCCGCCGCCCACCCTGCTGCGCTGTGACGGCGTGCCTGTGCGGCGGCCGTCCGGCGGCGGCGGCGGCGGCGACGGGCCGGACCTGGCCCCGGCGCTGGTCGACCTCACCACCCCCGAGAAGGCGCCGTCGCCGCGGCCAGCCGAGGCCGAGGCGGCGCCGGCGCGCCGGCGGCTGAAGCTGCCGCTGGAGGTGACGCTGCTCAACGAGTCGGACATGAGCGACGACGAGCTGGACGACCTCGGCGAGCTGGCGGTCAGCGCCGCCCCAGGTGGGTGCCGCCGCGATACACTGCTACCGGTCATAGAGACTGGTGGGGTAATGGTTTGAATTGTTTATTTATTTATTTATTTATTTATTTATTTATTTACTTATTTATTTATTTATAGTCAAATGGGACATGCCAGGGAACCCTTATGCTTGTCTTGTCCAGGATTCGTAATTTAATCACACTCAAACGTTGCGGAAATGAGATGTCCACTTTTAATTTTTGTTGTTGTTGTCATTGTCGATACAACGAGTCTATAGTCGTCTTGAGTTTCGCTGTATGTCAAACGACCTTAGGTTCTCTATCGAATTGAGGGAGATTCCGAAATAAGATGAAAGTTACGTTCCAATAACAATCCTATGTCTCGCCTGTTTCAGAGAAGAAATCCGATGACGTGTATTGTCCGAACATTGAACTGATTGAACTATGAACACATTTTATATCTTCACGGCGTAAGGTAAGAATCGCAAATCGTCTATGTGATCAGAACAACTCGGTCAAAGAAAGTGGAAGGTCACTAGTCAGAGAAAATTAATGTGACTTCAACAACTTGTATTTTTATTTTCCGAGTTATTTTATTGTTATTCATGTTCTGCATTAGCAAATTTCTGGGGGGGGGGGGGGCAGTTTGAATGTTTCGTTTAATTGTATGGTTTGATTTCGCTCAGTGTCTTTTGATGGTTTCGGTAAGTCGTGCTCATGAATCTGTGTTGAGCAAAGGATATGGTTAATATTTCATACCAATGTGTTGCCAAATTGATTCGACGTTATCTAAACGGTCAGTAGGAGTTCTGACGATTCGCCTAGCGATTTACCCCGGTGCAGCCGTGTTCCTGTATTGCCGGGCGCTGTGTGTGACGCTACCTCTGCCCCGCAGTCGCCGCCGCCGCCGCCGGCGTCTCTCACCGGCCGGTGCGTCCGGAGGTCGTCGGAGGCCCGGCCGGCGGTGGGCCGCCGAGCCGCCCGCCCGGCGCCGCGGACGGTTTGGGACAGTGCTGCGGTCAGTGCCAGGGAGATGGGCACGGGGACGGGATTTGTGCCGGCGTCAGGCCGGCCCGCCATGATCTCTGCGTGATGCGAGGGACATCGTCAGTGTGTGTACAAAGTGTATGACCGCGTGTATGTGCCGGTGTGAGGGCGGCGGACCGGCGCAGACCAGACCAGCGCCCCGCCGCGCCGCCCCAGTGGCGCTCAGGCAGCTCCGCGAGAAGGCGTCGGCTGTCAGGCGCTGGCGCAGAGTATCCGGGCGGCCGGTCGTGGCGGCTGCTTTCTGAGAGCACTCACGTGGCAAGATCGACAATCTAGAAATTTCAGCATCTTCCTGCTTCGGACCGTGAGAAAATCTATCAGAGTAGCCGAGAGCCGATCCGTTGAACCGGTTACCTTTGAATAACTGCAGGCGATTTGTCGATCCCGCTTTATAGGGCGCGTCTGATGTGCCCGTGGTGGCAGAGAGAAGGCATTTATTCTGACGGACTCCAACTTTTTCGGCTTCTTCATGCGTGTGGGCAATATCAGTTTAGCACCCAGATTTCTTTGTTTTCTGTTGTGGCTGTGAGCTTTGCTAGGCTACATTACGGACAAGTTGCTCTTTATTTTGTGTATCATCCTCACACGCGGCATGTTTTTTATGTCCTCCGACGGAGATTGTAGATAACAGCTTCGTCCCGTTGTGCTTTCGACCTGATCAGGAGCTCTCGTTGAAGACTGCCTTGGCGCTAAGGTGGGTCTCGGACTATGGTTAAGCCTTGTTTACTGCGCAGAGTGTTTCCCACTTATCTCTTGTTTATGCTCATTTGTAGGGTATTTATCGGAGCACGAAGGATGAAAGAAGTGTCATCTCTCTGCTTGCGCCGCTGGCTCATCAGGGTACTGTTTGCCAGAGTGTTAGTTCAAAGTCACCATTGAGTCGCGGTAGTGTGACCTCCCGCAGCGCCTGGCTGCAGGCGGGCCTGTCAGGTGGGTCCGATCACATTCGGGTCTGGGCAGCTCCGACCGCTCTATGGCTCCAGTGAGCGAGCCCGCCTCCGGTGTATCAGTGTGCTGTGTTTATAAATATGTCTCAATGTAAATGAATACAAGTTAAAGCTTGCTGATGTAGTTCGTTAATTATATTTCGTTAATTATATTGACAGCGTAGCACTGGAATGCCATTTGCGACTCTGTGCGACGTACTAAAGCTGCTGAAATGCGCCGTCCCAATCAGGTATTCCATGCGTGTTCCAGCCAAAAACGGAATTGACGCTGCTAGTTGAGCTGTATTTGCACTGCTACATATTGAGCTATATACCTATATCGATGACGCTAGGAAATAGATTGGTTTATCTTCGCTGGTTCGTATTGATGGTACCATAAGGTGTTTAAAATAGTCGATTCATTTGTGCATTCATTTCTATCGCTAATCATCATAAAGATCATCATAGCGATCGTCGTCGTATCTATCATCGTCGTAGTCGTATCTCCTGTACGGCCCTCCGTATCGGTACCCGTAGCGCCGTCCGTAGCGCCGTCCGTAGTAGTAGTCGTCATCGTCGTAGTAGCGCCGGCGGCCGTAGGACGTTCTGTAGTAGCGGCGGCCGTAGTCGTCGTCGTAGTCATCGTCGTCGTACCGGCGGTAGTAGCGGGACCGGTAGCTGCCGTACCCGCCCCGCGAGTAGAGGCTGACGTAGCCGTCGCTGCCCCGCCGGATGACCGAGCTGCCGGTCGAGCGGACGTAGGATGTGGGCGAGTAGATGTCGTCTCGGTAGTCGGCACTGGCGACGGCCGCAGTGAGCAGCAGCAGCACGAGCACGCCCTGGGGGCGGGCGGCAGGGGGTCAGAGGGGTGGCAGGAAGTGGGGCACTGTCAGCAGCAGCAGCGGTAGCAGACCCTGGGGGCGGGCGGCAGGGGGTCAGAGGTGACAGGGAGTGGGGCAGTCAGCAGCAGTAGCAGTAGCGCGCCCTGAAGACGGGCGGCAGGAGGTCAGAGGAGTGACAGGGAGCAGGCAGAGGGGTGATAGGGAGCGGGCCGCTGTCAGCAGCAGCACGAGCACGCCCTGGGGGCGGGCGGCAGAGGGTCAGAGGAGTCAGAGGAGTGACAGGGAGCGGGGCACTGTCAGCAGCAGCAGCGGTAGCAGACCCTGGGGGCGGGCGGCAGGGGGTCAGAGGAGTGACAGCGAGCGGGGCTGCTGGCCGTCAGAGGGGCGACAAGGGGTGGGGCTGAGGTGGGTTAGAGGGGTGACAGCCAGTGACTCGCAGGCTCGATTTATCGATTTAACACTGGCTCTGTCCACCGCAAATGTAGTGAATTAACTAGCTAGTTTCCCTGGGAAGAATCAAAACTTAAAACATCTTTTAAATATTCGGTACAAAGGCGTTCTAAAAGTAAGCTCTGTTTGAGCTTCTCTCAATCAATAATCAATCACTTGTCCTAACTAAAACACCGGGGTCATCGCTACGTACCTTCATGTCGAATTCCGAGCTGACTGTCGCCCCGGTGGCAGCGCTCGGTGTCAGGACCTCAGCAGTCGCCGGTGCACGCACTGATGTATGAGTGTACCTGAACACTACCTCTCAGTCTTTATATACCCCAATATCTGCGGGCCCGCGGCGCCTGGCCGCTAACAATGCCTCCCCCGTGCGCGGCCCGTCTCGGCCGGCCGGCCGCGCTGCCGCCCGGCCACGGATGTGAGCCGGCGGTCCTTCACGGTCCGGGGCCGCCACCCGAGACTCGTGCTGTCCTCAGCCGATAACGAGGCGGGCTTTATGCTGTCCGCGCGCACAATTGGGCGCAGGGCCACGACTTGACACTGGCTGCAAAGTAAGCTATTCCATGCAGCCGGATTCGTTGAAAGTGCAGGGCTGTGAAAACCCGTTATCCGCCTGTAGATTGGAAGTTGGAACCTGGCTGATGGAGCGGTCACCACACCCATGTTGGACCCCTCCCCCCCCCCTCACTGGTTAGCTTGTGTGAGTTTCCGTCAGCGGGGACCAAACGAGTGCGCTCAAGAATGAGGACGTGTTGGTCCTGAGGTGGAAGGGGATAGATGCATTCACCTGCAAAGAACCTGAACACGCCCCCAGCCAGCAATTTTGCTCCGGGCCCAAGCAGGCTCAAGTGCGGATTGCCCGAGATTTTAAGTCGGGCTAAAGTCGGCTAGGGCTTGGGCTAAAGTCGGCGTATGACACAAAAACGCCGACTAAAGCCCATGCTCTGCCGGAGGTATGCCCGCTCTGCGAGCTCCGGACAGCCGTAGTTTAGCCCTAGTTGAGCGATGATTGGCGTTAGCCCGATTTAAGCCCGAGCAGTGAATCCATTTATATAATGGAGATTACTCTGGGCCCGAGCGGGCTGAATTCCGGCAAGCCCACTCTGTGTGCCCTGTCTATCCCGACTTAAGCCATAGAAGTGAATGGGGTTTATACATTGCAAACTGCTGTGGCTTTGCTCGGGTTCAGCTCGAGTGACGGCTCCTGTTTTCTCAAGTCTCGACTTGACTTCATCTTGCTTTTGCTTCACACTGGATCAAGTAGCAAGGAGCAGCCAATGCACTTTCAGCAGGTTGTGCGGTTACAATGCATATTCAAAATTGTTACAGTCACTCATATGCTCTGTTAACCGGTCATCGAGCATTGCGAAAGGAAAGTAGTGGTTGACTTTGATTGAATGTATATTTCAAACGACTACAGACACGTCAAATGAAACACAAATACATGAAACAGTGGACTGCAAACTGCAGCAATAATATGGCATGAGTCATGAAAAAGCGCCATCAAAACTATAAAACAATCACGAGGCCCGCTAGCCTCCCTCCCCCTTCATAATACTTAGTTGAACACCCAACCGAAAGCATTAAGTAAGGACAGCAAGTAATCGCTCATAAGACATAAAGCAATAAGCAAACAATCGTTTAAAAGGAACTTCACTTTGGTGAATGAGAGCTTTGGAGGCGTCTGGCTCCTCCACACACACACACAAATACACACATCTGCAGTAGATGGTCGGTCAGCTTTCGGCGCAGTTTCCGTATATGTAGGTATACCTACTTAATTATAAGCAGGCAGTTTCCGCTAAACCAATTGGCGAGGGCGACTGCGGCGTCCACCCGGTCCTGGTTTGTATAACTATTCCATTTTTTGGAACCATTTGCTCTAATGGTACGTACCTGAAAAAGAGATTTATTGGTTTAATTTACATTGCATATTTGCTTTAAGAATAACTTATTGTTGCATTAATACTGTAAAAGCACTTCTCATTGATCCGTATAAAATGTTCATTCGATTTTCAACGCGGACAGAGAATGAGCGTGCTCGGTGATAAGTAGATAAATATTTGTGTTTTGTATTTCATTTTCCTGGTTCAGAAGTGCTGGTATTTCACAAAGATATAAAGGCACGGAGTGCGACTTTTCTGAGCGAGGGTATAAGTCGTCAGGCTGAACAGCTATTCAGCTTCATGTTTGATGGCGTGAAACTCAGTCAAAATCATGACGTTTACATACGATCAAGCGCACCATTCAATACACTTACCTACCGTAAAACTCCATGCCAGTCCACTTGATAAGAGCAGTGAGCACTATCCCTTCTTCGCGCTGTCACACGCGCCCAAACATCAACCACCAAATGCCTCAGTACCGGTGTGTCGTTTCGTCGCACAGCGCGCAGACTGTCACAAACGCTGCACATGATTGGCGCAGAACTGCGCATGCGCGAACAGCCGAACAAGTATGGCTAAGCTCCGGCTTTACTCCAGTTAGCCGAAGGACACAGCCAGCTTGATCAGCCCGCGCTCCGCCCAAGTTAAGCCTGTTTTGGATGCGCGGGCAGATGTCGGGCTGAGCTACTGCTATCCGCACGTGGGCATAGCTGCGGCATGCCCCAGCTCAGCCCTAGTAAAAAATACATTGGTTTTGATCAAAGTGGGCAAACCCAAGCTAAGCCCAAGCTGCCCGACGTTTGCCACAGTTCAGCCCAAGCGAATTGCTGGCTGGGGGTGCATCACCTCCCTAGATTACTTAGATTTGTGTGCTTTTAAACGAAGTAATTATGCATAGGCAATCGAGGTCTGATGAAAACAAACTCATGCTTCTGGAAATCGGTGTTTATGTTCATCCAGTGGTCGCTTTCCTCTTGAACCTCGCGGGCCGAGGGGGGGGGTTGCCGCCCCCCCCCCATAGGTTTTTTCGCGATAGCTCCGAACACGCCGGTGATATAGAGCTGAAACTTGGCATACCTGACCTTAGATTCAAGCCGGATCTTGTGACACCGAGCGCATTTTTAGGTCAGGTCAGGTCGCTGACCTATGGCGTCATAAGTGAACCTCTGCGTGGTTCTCAGATGTCACAACTTCGCAATGCCCTCAGTGCCAGAGCAGCTTTCACATGGCGCCTGAGCGAGGCGAATACGATTATGCCAAAATCGCGGCTCTGCTGCCATTTTTTGCGAAGCTGTTTATCAAAAACCGAACCCGTACCTTGGTCCACCTTACCTGACCTCAGAGGTCACTGGTTGACCTGAGACCTTAAAATTGGGTACCGGTAGCTGCGTCTCGTAACCATGCATACTGCATACGCTCGTTCTTTCCGCGAGGCTCTAGCTGAAAGCGACCTCCCTCCCCCTCGGCCGGCGCGTATGTAGAAAACCAATAGGTCCGGCGAGGGTTAAAGCAATCCACGTACCACCTTTTCCCTTCCCACGCTCCCACTTCCCACGCTCGGGCTCCATGCCTGAATTCTGAAGCCAAGGCTCCGTCCAAGTATCGGCGACTTGTGACGCAGTGCGTAGATGTCGCCCTGGTTCAGGCACCTTGTAGGTGGCGCGGCGATCGCTCCACCTGCAGTGCCCGGGTGGCTTCTGCGCTACCTAGTGCTGCTCCGGCCTCTGCGGATTACGGGTTGGAGCTTCTACCCATTGGATTTTTTCTTTTAATTTTTCGTCTCATCCATCTTCAGAAATTCTCACTCACTGTCTCACTCATTCTCACTCAACCCTTGTATATACCTACCTACGGGGCTGACGCCTGACGGGTCACCCCCACCCAGGGAACTGATGGAGGGCGCTCACATAGGGACATATGTAGGGGCATGTTCGTTTTTCCGCAAACTCCTAGCTTGACCAGTATAACACCTTTTGGGGCGACTAACGGAGCGAGCGAGAGGGTGGGCCTTGCACGTGCGAAATTGCGAGGGGGTACCTCCAACTGACTTGTGCACGGCACCCTATCTAACCGGTCTCTAGCGATGTGCCAAATTTGGGCACAATCGGCCCAGCCGTTCTCGAGATCTGGAAGCGGCACCCTGCACGTGCGCACGTGCAAAATGGGTCCCAACTGACTTGTGCACGGCACCCTACTAACCGATCCCTAACTGTGTACCAAATTTGAGCGCAATCGGTCAAGCCGTTCTCGAGATCTGGAAACGACCCCTGCACGTGCGCACGTGCAACAGCACCCCAACTCTGGCACATGGATATGCAGTGCCTAGTGGGTGCCTACCTACATGCCAACTTTCAGCGCAATCGGCCAAGTAGTTACCGAGATATTGCAACAATTACAAAACTGACACCTCTTCGTTTTGCACGTGGCACGTGCATAAGGGGTCACCCACATGCATCGGGAATAGTCCAATACTTGGTAGAAGGAATGAAGCTACCCTACAAAATTTACCGCATGTAAATCGGTCAAGTGGTTGCTGAGATATAAGCCTCGCAAAAGCGTGACCACGGCCGGCCGGCCGGCCGCTCATACTCAGAAATTTCCGTTAATCTAAGGAAAGACTACGCTCGCTTCGCTCGCTCCGTAATAAAGACACGAACGGTTGGGGTCAGACCGACGATCTACCTATCCTTCGCCAGGGGTGTGTGTGTGGGGGGGAGGGGAGGTGTTTCTTGTGACACTTATGCTTGTTTGCGTGTGTAAAGGACAGCGAAAGGTGACAACGCTTATCAATTATCATGCATTAGTTTCGCATTGTGTGTGTAATTTTTGATTCTGGCCACCTACGGTAAAAAAATGATTTTTTTTAAAAGAAAAAACGCAAAAAAAAATCCGAATTTCGAAAAACGGAATATATGTGATAGTTCCTACGCTCTTCTATATACATATCAAATTTCAGATCGATACCTCCTTTTTTAGCCAAGTTAAAGCGAAAAAAAACTGTTCAAAATTGATGAGGTCAAATTTTTTAACTCAATTTTTAGCAATTCTAGACCACGTAGCGCAAAACAAAGACCACCATTGAACTCCCCGTGACGAGCTGCATCGAATCGATACCCATTTTATGCAAAAATATCAACTTTAAAATTTGACCTAATTTGACCCGACCTTGACCTGACCTTGACCTGACCTTGACCTGACCTTGACCTGACCTTGACCTGACCTTGACCTGACCTTGACCTGACCTTCACCAGAACATAATCTTAACTGACCCCAAAGGCTGCTTGACCCACATAATCGTATTTGACATAAAATGGACCATAAAACATGCATCACATGATATTTTCATAATGTGACCCTCAGTGACCTGACCTCTGTGACCTGACCTGGTACCAGTGACCTCAAATAGCAAAATATGTGTTTGACGAACATTTCCTAATAAATGATTTTCAATGAAATGCACTTTACTCGATTTTACAACGCATTTCTTTAAATGCCTGTAAACGGTGAAAATTTGACCTTTGACCTGACCTGTGCCGTCATCGGTTTGACCTAGGTCAATGAAATTGGGTCACAAGATAGTTCTCTGTTGGGGCTATCCAACACCGTGTGCCGCTTGTCGCTATATTGCGTGGTTCTTGAGATCTTAGGGGGGCCAAATTGCCCCCCCCCCCCCAGCAGGGCGCGTTGCTCGGCAGACCCCAACGGGGCGCGGGTTAACCTTCCAGGCGGTCGGGGGGGCCTTTTTTTGCCCCCCCCCCTTTAGTTTTTTCAATATATCTCGAGAACCGCTGCGCCGATCGTCACCAAACTTTCAGTACCCTCCCGGGAGCAGCTAGCGCACATGGTGGCCAAAATTTTTTCCAAAGGCTATGATAGGTTGGCCGCTAATGACGTCAGAGTGACGTCATTTTTGCCAGTTTCGACCCAAAAACAAGGTTTCGCGGGAAGAGCTGTCAGGCCTACAGCTTTAGAGATACAGAAAAATGTTTCAGACATAAAAGGTGTGAAATCAAAAGGGCTACAAAACTGCTATTTCGGTTTTTCGAATTTTTTGGATTTTGACCCCCAAAAATCAAAAAATATATTTTTTGAATATAATAGCCAAAAAATCCAAAAAGTTTTTTGAATTTCGAAAAAAACCGGAATATTTGTGATAGTCCCTACCGCCTTCTATCTACATACCAAATTTGAGATCGATACCTCTTTTTTGGCCAAGTTATAGCGAAAAAACTGTTCAAAATTGATGACGTCAAATTTTTAAACTCAATTTTTAGCAATTCTAGACCTCGTAGCACAAAACAAAGACCACCATTAGACTCCCCGTGACGAGCTGCATGGAATCGATACCCATTTTATGCAAAAATATCAACTTTGAAATTTGACCTTTTTTACCTGGCCTTGACCTGACCTCCACCAGAAAGTGACCTAAACCGTACCTGATGGTCTTATAACCAACACCATTGAGTTGGAAATGAAAAACTGGCCATAAAACATGCATCGCATAACCTTAGTAAAGTTGGGCTCATGTGGTGACCCTTGGTGACCTTTGGTGACCTGACCTGTGACCTGACCTGGTATGACCAGTGACCTCTAATAGCAACATATGTACTAGACAACTGACGCCTTATCGCTGATTTTCGACAAAATGCGTTTTACTCGGTGTTATAGCGCTTTCCCTAGAAGCCCGTGAACGGTGAAACATTTTATCTTTGACCTGACCTGTGACGTCATCGGTGACCCCGAGGTCAATGAAATTTGGTTCCCTTCGACAAATTTGACAGGGCTATCGAACGCCGTTTGAATTTTCCGGATCCGTCCAGTAGTTTCGGAGATACGGGGGGGGGGCAAAAAAATGCCCCCCCCCCCCCCACCGCGGTGGCTGGTAGGCCCACCGCCTGCCGGGTTAATGACTGAAAAAGTGACTAAGAGCCAGTGACGTACCCAAGGGGGGGGCCACGGGGGCTAAGGCCCCCCCCTGAGCGCCGAAGGCGCTCAGGGGGCCCCTCAGGCCCCAGGATATTTTTTAAACACTGGATAAAACGTCTTTTACTCGGAAGAAAAATTGATATTAAAGTTTCATTTATGTGCCCTGGGTACCCGAGGGGCCCCTGCAGTCATCCAAGGGCCCCAGTTTCCTGGGCCCCTGGTCGCCTAGGGGGCCTCTGGTAGCCGGGGGCCTGGTCTCATGGGGGCCCCTGATAGCCTGTGGCCCCTAGTCGCCTAGGGAGCCCTGGTCGCATGGGGGCCTCTGGTCGCATGAGGCCCCTGATCGACTGGGGGCCCCTAGTTGCCTAGGGGGCCCTGATAGCCGGGGGCCTCGTCGTATGGGCCCCTGATAGTCTGTGGCCCCTAGTCGGCCTAGGAGGCCCTAGTCGCATGGGGGGCCTCTGGTTGCATGATATTGAGGCCCCTGATCGCCTGGGGGTACCTAGTCGCCCAGGGGGCCCCTGGTAGCCGGGGGGGCCTGGTCGCATGGGGCCCTGGTTTCCTGGGGCCCCCGGTCGCCCCTAGTCGCCTGGGGGACCCTGGTCGCCTTGGGCCCCTGGTAGCCTGGGATCCCCTGGTCGCCTGGGGGGCCCCTGATCGCCTGAGGGCCGCTGGTCAACTAGAGGGCCCCTGGTCGCCTGGGGGCCCCTGGTAGCCGGGGGCCTGGTCGCATGGGGCCCCTGGTCGCATGGGGGCCCCCTGGTCGCCTGGGGGCCCCTGATCGCTTTGGGGACCTGATCGCATTGGCCCTTGGTCGCCTGGAGGGCCCTGGTCGCCTGGGGCAGTGGGGCCCCTAGTCATCTGGAGGACCTGGTCGCCTGGGGGCCCCTGGTCGTCTGAAAGTACGCTTATCACCTGATTGATACCAAATCATCTGAGTGGCTACTGGCTACTGGATATAAGTAGTGACTGGAGTAGGCACTCATCTGAAGGAGCCAATATCTGATAATAAATCGTTTAGCGGACTGACTCTGGGTGTAAAGAAGCTATTTTTCCCTGTACTTCGACCTTTATTGACAGGTCTTCAAAGGGGCAATGCGATTCAAAAACAAACAATAATCATGCTATACCTACTGCCATCCACGAAATTCTCAAAATGATCGATGCTAAAACACGTGACACAACTTACAGACAGTTCGTACTCCAGTAGGTCTACTTTTTCAAAACACTATCCCATATAGGGCTAAGCGAGAACTTTCCGACACCCTGATTCAGTGATGGGTTGCATAATCGAATCTCGATGGCCTCCCTTACGACACGGCGGGACCATGTTGGCTCGACCGCCAGCGTGCTAGCCTGACCTGGGTCAAATGGTTGGCGACACTGGAGCCAGTGTTCAGCTAAAGGGGATGTGTCTGACCTCCCATGCTTTATGGCTGCTACGTGTTCTTTAAGTCGCATGCTTTTAGGACGCCCGGTCTCGCCAACATACGTGGCACCACAATCACAAGTAGTCTTGTAAATGACACCTTTTTGCAAATCCTTTGGTGGTACGTCCTTGGCTTTAACTAGTTTGTCCCTGAGTGTTGGCTTCGAGCTATATCCTAACCGAATCTGGTGGGGCGCTAAAATCCTAGCAATTCTTTCGCTGGTTCCTTTGACGTAGGGGATGCTAATGTACGTACTACGGGGTCGTTCGGTTGTCTGGTCGTCCGGTACGGCCGGATCTGTCCGGTCGGGTCGCCCAGCGGTCGGTTGGGCTCGGTTATCGCCATCGGTCAGCTCCTGTCTCTGCTGCTCCGTCGCAGCCCGTCGGGCGTCCTAAAAGCATGCGACTTAAAGAACACGTAGCAGCCATAAAGCATGGGAGGTCAGACACATCCCCTTTAGCTGAACACTGGCTCCAGTGTCGCCAACCATTTGACCCAGGTCAGGCTAGCACGCTGGCGGTCGAGCCAGCATGGTCCCGCCGTGTCGTAAGGGAGGCCATCGAGACTCGATTATGCAACCCATCACTGAATCAGGGTGTCGGAAAGTTCTCGCTTAGCCCTATATGGGATAGTGTTTTGAAAAAGTAGACCTACTGGAGTACGAACTGTCTGTAAGTTGTGTCACGTGTTTTAGCATCGATCATTTTGAGAATTTCGTGGATGGCAGTATAGCATGATTATTGTTTGTTTTTTTGAATCGCATTGCCCCTTTGAAGACCTGTCAATAAAGGTCGAAGTACAGGGAAAAATAGCTTCTTTACACCCAGAGTCAGTCCGCTAAACGATTTATTATCATTAATATACCTGGGTTTAAATATGACTTTACAGTCTCATAGAGCCAATATCTTTCACGGTGCCGGAGATATCACAGAAAAAACAAAAAGGCTAAACTGAATACCCCCCAACCTTGGCCCCAAAGGCGTCATTGGCTAACACAGGGATGTGGGTCGATTTGCAATCGCATTTCCTCGTAAGTCCTATTCCTCCAATTAATACAGAGTCTCCCAGAATTACCCAAGCATTTATTTTCTGGCTAAAAGTACAATTGCGCTCGTTTCCTAGTGAAACATATAATAGCCGCGTTTACATAGGGCTAGTTGCCAGATAGTGGAATTCCGATAACGAGACATTTACTCCCCACTATTATATTATATACCTACATATCCGGAATTGGAGGATGTTCAGTAATTGAGGCGCTCGCTCATAAAATGCCGTGCGTTTCATGCACACTCCTCAAGCAAAAATATTTTTACTTTCCAATTTTCCACATTTTCTCAAGGCTTAGACCGTTACAGAGACCGTTTTAATTGACTTTGATGAAGTTGAACGCGAGAAATCACAGCCAAATGCTACATTAGGTTGTAAAGAACTGAATTGCGTTTTCCCCACAGTGGCGTTTTCTCACCTACGTCTGCAGGAGAGACCGGACCCACTATGCCCCCCCCCCCCCCCCCATCAAAAGGTTCTTCATGACTCCCGGGGGCCCCGGGAACCTGGGGGGCCCTATACACTGTGGGGGGCCCCTTCGAAAGCAGGTGGCCCCCTCCTGGCCGAAATCCTGGGTACGTGCCTGCTAAGAGCAGTTAATTTCAATTACCTTCACCTGAAATAACCGTGACCTTAACATCCACCACAATGCATGGGACAAACAGCAGTCACATGTTGGAACGTTTAAAATCACAAACAGAATGAGCACGAACGGATGAGGTTTGTTGACCTACGCTGAATCGCGATTCCGGCCTGACATAGCCTCGAGACAAGTCATTGGTCAAAGGTCACTTGGTTGAGGGTCATTGAATTTTAAGGCTAGGTAAAACATTGATTAACTCTGGGATACTGACATTTTCGTCGTGATCGACTGCTTTTTGCGCGAGTTTTAAAGGCAAGGAGGGGGATCCGCTCGACCCCCTCGACTCCCTCCCCGGGAACAAAGTGCAAGGTTAAACAACAGTTTGAGTACGTCGGACCTAGTACAGATTCATTGTCCCGGTTCCGTCATTTCACATCGATTGCTTGTTCCCGCAATGACACATTGAATTATGCTTATGCAAGTTATGGCTTTACTTCTACTTCTCTCTCCCCAAAGCGCGCGTCACGTTCCCTGGACTCTGCGTCGTGACAATGCAGACTCCAGACGACCTTCCCGAGAATGGTGCTATGAGCGGCCGCCAGTGCCACCTCCCTGCTCCCGGGAGCCGCGGACGGCCGGGATCGCCCTCCTCCTGAGCCGGTGACCGCAGACGGCAATCCCAGCCACTTCCAAACTGCTCAGAACTGCCGTGCTGGTTCCGTCTGGAAACCGTCGGCCGCCGGCGCCGACCGGCTACGCCGCCTCTGTAATTTCGGTCTGTGACCGGTGTCACGCACCGGTCGGCGGGTCACGCGGGGGTCTTACCGACGCCGGGGACAAAGACGGCGGCGGCGGCGGCGGCCGGTGCGTTCGGAGAATGCGTAACTGGCGGCTGCGACCGCCGGCAGGCAGCGATCCTGCAGCGAACCCCATTACTGACGGGGCCACGCCGCGGTACTGGAGCATTTCCTGAGTGCGCGGCGGCGGGCCGGGTCTGACTCGGATACCGCAGGGCGGCGCCGTGTCGGCGCTCTGCAACCCCAGCACCCGACAGACCGCCGACAGTTATAGTCTGATAGTAGTGGCAGTAATGCGCTGGTCAGCCCATTCATACTACCTCAATGTAATCGTGAGTGTGGAGTCTCTGTGCGCTATAAAAGTCTGCGCTTGAAATACGAGCAGAGGTCGAACCGAGTTTAACGGAAGGAATGAGATGTCAGACGATCGATAAGCGTTTGTAGCTGGTCCACAAAGTTCGAGCTTGGGATTCTCTGGGTCATAGTCTTCTCTATGTCAGTATAGGTACACCTACAGTAGTTTATAGTTTATTTCTGGGTGCATGATTTTTTTTTGCGGAATGGGGCACGCCAGTTTTTCGTTGCATATCCAACAGAGTATATGCATTTTCGCTGTTCTACGCAAGAACTCCTTCTACGATTGTATACACCTTACCTGATTGTGTGCTGGTGCTGCTCAGAATTTGGTATCAAACATTTACTTACAGTTGTGAATTGTGATTCCTATTTAATGTCTGCATATTTAGAAAGGTTTTGGGCTTACATATTTGGGCCACAAATAAGCGAACACACATTAGTGCGCCCTGGACGTGTGCTCGTAGAAAGTGTAGGCATAGGGGAATGTCCATGGCTCAAACCAAATTTTGGCACTCGGGGAAACATTTAAGACTAAAATTCGTTTTACCGCCACATGGCCGGGATGTGTAAACCGCAAAGTTTTACGACCGATTGCCATTTTGCTTTTCAGTTCTCCTCTGCCCTCAAGTATTTTTATTGGCAGAACATTTGAGTTTTAACATGCACCTTGGGTGATAAGTGAATTATGAATAAGAAACGTCATAGGTTAGTTAGAATTGCAATATTCAACAGGAAAATAACAACCTGATTAGGGAATGTATGATTTCAAGCTTTTGTGACTACATAGACATTGTAATTCATTGTACGTTTTTCGGCAACTAGTTGTTTATTATTTTCGTTTCGAATTTTCGACTTTCGCATCGAGGCCGTTGGCAAGAAACAGTTTCCTTCGAAAAAATCGAAATTCGAACGAAAATTCGAAACGAAAACAATAAACGACTAGTAGTCGAAAAGACGTACCTTGAATTATTGGTAAGGGAACTTTGGAAACTGCTTGGCACTGGCGGGTCCAGAGAGTTTTGGCGGGCTTGGATGCTGCGGGGGAATATGCCCAAAACAGTTTTTTTTAAATTCCAAAAGCTCGTCCTATTTTGCTTGTTTACGCACTGCTGTGCAGTTTGAAACAATTGTTTCCTAATTAAAGTTATCAAGTTTTCTTTTTGTTCTCGAAAACTGTTAATTTTCGTCGATTTTGGGCACCGAAGGGACTTTTGCCCCAAATGCCCCCACCCCCTGGATGCACCACTGCTTCTTGGAAATTTAGCATAGTAATCCTGATAGAAACCACAAACGTTGGACGATGAACTGGCCGAGGCTTACAGCATGTATGTAGGGTAGAGAATGACATGCGTATTGCGTAATGAGTTTTGAATAGCGAGATTTCGAAATCCCAGGGGCGGATCTAGGAAAACTCCAAGGGGAGGGTCATGAATCGAAGTGGTACCCCTACCTATACCCAAAATTAAAAACTCAACGGATTTCGTCCACTTCATTTTGGTGGGGCCCCCATTTTCAGTTTTTTTCTTTTTATTTTTTATTTTCAGTCAGTAGGGGAGAGTGGGGTAAGATGCCCAGGGTGGGAAAGACGCCCCACCCCCTCTAGCGGCGAAACAAAAAATCGAACCTGGAAATTAATGTTCTTAGCGTAAAGCGGAAGCCAGCCTTGTTAACTGCACAACAATTTGCGAAGCTCAGTTGGGCAACGGCTGGCTGGTGATTGTATGTTTTTTATTTGCTGCTTTCAAAAAATATTTTAGTGTCAAAACATTGTAAATATCAAAGAGGGTAGATAATTTTGGCGTCCCTTGCTATAGTCGTGATACATTAATATGCGTGTACTGTG